ACTACTTGCTTCACCGTGTAGTTTCGATGCGTGTTGGCGGACTACACATAATTTCCTTAAAATATTTTATTCCTTAGATATGCTGGTTCCCTCACGATGTTTTTCTTCACCATGTTGCACAAGATATGGTAAATCAGCACTTGCAATTTCTAATGAGCAATATATATTCTAATTAATAGGTGTCGGATGGCATCAAACATGCGAGCACGCATACCGTAAAATTTATGACCCCAAGCTACTATGGCTCAATTGCGTAATAATTTTTCAGTAAATAAATTAAATGAATTACAAAATTCGAAGAACCTTATGTTTCGTTGTTAAAAAATTGGCAATAAATAGTAGTTAATAGTTTCATGGCACTTCAGGCAACTCTTCTTAGTCATAAATACCTTTTTATTTAATACAAACTTACTTCGTTATTTTGACAATAACAGATGATAAAAAATGTCATGTCGCAAGTAACTGTGTACACACGTGCCTAGTGAATCTTCTTTATGACATATCATTCTTTTTTGTTTTATATTTTACCGAAGTTGGTTAAATAATAATAGTATACTAATGAATCCACAACACGGCGGTAAACGTTACAAGAAAACGTGACGGTTTTTTTTTAAATATCGTACTAAATTTCTGCACTACGTTGATAAAAAAGTTTCACTTCAATTATTATCAAATTTTTAATCTATGCTTACTGAAATTGAAAAATTCAAAGGTAAATTCAGTGGAACATTTGATTGCAAATATCAACATAATATATCTATGTAATTAACTTGGGTTCAAAGACATTTAAGTAGTACTTAGTATCACAGAAATCGTAATAATAAGACAATAGTATATATGTATATTTAAATGTCTTTGGTTGGATTAAAAAATGATATTGTCATTTTACATTGAATAATTCAAACGCCTTTTTTCATAAGAAAAAAGTCATTTATTGTAACGGAGTATTTACCCACAATATTAGGAAGGCATTAATATTGTGGGTGAGTGCCATTTTATAACAAAAAAATATTTTTTCATTGAATTATGGAAATAATGGAAACCGGTTGGGGTTAGGTCTGGCGAGTACGGAAGACGACGTATGATGTGGTTTCTAACTGCTAGTCTTGCAATGGTTTCGAGCAGCGTGAGATCTTGATTTTTCATGGAGTAATAATCAATAGAATTATTCTATTCTCATAAAATGGCGAAGATCAATAGATAAGTCGTGGTTATTTCTCTGAGAATTTCGTCCATCCATCAATTCAATTTCGTGCTCCATCATTGTTCGAAGTTCTTTACAATACGCATTAGATTTAGTACACACCGGATTTTAAAAGGCTACAGTGAATTACGAAGAATTACGAATTATGAAGTAACCACCAAACCATTAGTCACCATTTATGGTTGTCCTTCGCTTTAGGAAATTGTTCCGGTATTTAACCTGGATTCAGCCATTGCATTATTTTTTCGCTTGCGATTTACAATAAACTGGTGTCGCCGAGAGCACACATGCAAGCGGTTACGTCGTATTATCACTACTAGAAAGTAAAGACTCACACACACTCATCATAGCAAGTCTCTGTGTAAATGGGTTTATTCATGAGCTGTGGGTGCATCATAAATAAGCCCATGTGTACTTCTTGTATATTTTTATGTATTTTAGAAATTTAGTGCATATGATTCAATTTTGTGGTTAACCAACGTCATACCATGACGTTAGTTCTTTTGTTGTTTGATTAGAAACGGCTTCCACAATTTATTTTAATTCATCGTCATCCCTAGAGTCTTGTTTTCTTCTTGATTCATTCGATTAAATCAAAAACGCTCAGTGCGTTCGTTAGCGTTATACTTCCCAAGATATATTACAATACAATATAATTTCCAGGAGTAGCATTGTATGCTCTTCTGCTGAAATTTTGAATTTATTATTGAGATGGTGCGCTTACGCCTGAAATAGTCGGGAAGATTGCTACTTCTACCTTTGCTTTTTGTTTTGAAGTAGAGTTATAAGTTGTTTTGTGCAATATTAGTTTTAAGTAATATATGATGAATAAATTACATGTTATTAAAAATTCTGATTGGTAAGTTAATATGAATACTTTACAAACATATAATTTAAATTAGGTAGGCCCGTTCGGAATATCACATGTTTTGCAGTTTATATAAATAAATAACTACTTCCGTTTTATTTTTTGTCTTCGTAAACACGATCACGTGTTCTTATATCGTTCTAAGTTTAAATAGCTCTCTATCCATCAGTGTAGATGCATGTGAATTCTTGGCACCTTTTTCCAATCCTTTACGATTTAGCCCCAAGCCCCAATACCTGAAATGTAAGTTTCGGTTTTTGGGTTCTTCTCACGATCGTAACCTGTGATCTTCCAAAGGAACTACCTGAGGTGTTTTTCCTCGATGTTCCAAATGCATGTCTCAGTCTTTCGCCGCTGAGGTCATAAGGCTTTGGAATAAATTACCTCCACTTGTCAGGAAACCATATATTATGTTCGTATAATTCGTATGCTTAAAATGTGTCTATTAGGTATACATGTAAAAGTTGCGCATGTTTTTTTATGAGATATAGAGTATATTATTTAGGTTATTTGTAGTACTTATTTATAAGTGTTTTTATATGTATGCTATGTGTATTTTATACTTACATTTATTCATACATTTTTATGGCACTTTTTTATGGTAGAGAATGCCTAAAGGTATTAAGTCTGCCCATTGTATACTTTATATGCAACAATGATTTTAAATATATTTTTTTTATAGAAGAGGGGGCAAACGAGCATGCGGCTCATCTGATGGAAAGTGACTACCGCCGCCCATGATCAACTGTACAACTGTACTGTGAATGTAAACGATTCCAAAGAGAGGTCGTACGAGGAAGGAAACTCCAAGTAAACGTATAGTGGTGGACCGCCAAGCACCCAAATGGTGTGGATGGCATCGTGAGTTTTGTAACGATGTGCGTTTGTGAAATTTGGCGGCTGGAATTAATAAATAAATAATATAAATAAATCCTATTTCCGATATAAGTTGGGACATTATAATTCATAAAGCACTTAATAAGGCTTAAAGAAAGAATAGATAAAAGTTAAGAGTATATGTATACGCGAAACATGATTTAGCAACGCAAGTACGTGAGTGGTCTGAAAAATTTCCGACCTAAAAAAGATACAAGAACATTTTTTCATTTTTCTACATAGTCTCCTTGTAACTCTACGCACTTTTCCCAGCGATACCACCATCTCTCTAACTCGTCCAAGTAGCACTCGGAGTTTTTCTCTCCAAAATAATTGTTCACGAATTAGATTGCTTCCTCATTTGACGAAAATCTTTGGCCTCTGAGCTCAAATTTTAGAGGGAACAAAAACAAGTCGCTTGGGACTAGATTTGAGTAAGGCAAGCAGTTCGAAACTTTTTTCAATTTTCGCCATGACAACCGCTAAGGTGTGAGACGGCGCGTTGTCATGAATTAAGTGTGGTGGATTATATGTAATTCTTTTAGTATTCTAAGCTAGCTTTACTACTATTCCTCTTGATGGTGAGTGGGTGATGCAACCGAAGATAGTAAAACGCACTGACTTGAATTAATCATAACCTATTTATTCCTGCCTTAAAGACTTGTTATATTATAACTAGATGAAAAGACAGATGTTGGAGACTTATTCCATTCCTTTGCTCTACGCACGAAGAACGATAAAGCAAGTCATTTACTTTAAAAGAGTAGTATGAGAATAGAATAGTTGTGTGAGAGATTATATTTCAAAGGAAAGAATTTTGAATAATATTAGAGTTCATGAACACCTGCAGGTGAAACAGGATTTTCTTTTTATGCAAATGTGGTCGTTTTTCCGCAATTTCTGCCTTCAGCTTATCAAATTATCATGCGTATGCCCCTGCAACGGTTTTTCTTTTTTGAACATAATCGATTAAGACAACTCCATGACTACCCTAAAATCATTCGCAATCACTTTCCCAGCTAAAAACAGTTTTTGCTTTTTTTTTGGAGCCGGTTCCTCCTTTGCAGTCAACTGTTTTTACCGTATTTTTGTTTCGGACGTAAAATGGTGTATCCAAGTTTCATCTACAGTAATTAATCGGTGCCAAATATTCAATTTATTGCACCTAAACTGCGCCAATAAAGCGTTGGAAATATTAATTCGAACACGTTTTTAGTCTAACGTGAGCAAACGCGGCAACCAACACGTTGACAGCTTTCTCATGTCTAAATTGTGCTAAACAAAAACTAAAATATGTGACAAACACGTTGTTTGGACATTTTCATGGTCTCTGCTATCTCTTTCAAGTTAATTCGGCGGTCATCTAGCAACATTTGGTGTACGTTAAGATGTTATCGTCAGTAGTTGCAATTTTTGGACGTCCCGAACGTTCATCGCCTCCTAAGCCCTCACGGCCACGTTTCAATTCAGCTGTTCAAAATTTCACTGTGGTAAATGTTGGTGCATAGTCTCCATACAGATAGTCCAACTCATCTTTGATTTACGTAAGTGTATTGCCTTTCAAACACAAAAATTTTATGACATTCTGATACTCAATATTTTCTATTTTCACAAAAACACTCACGTCGACTCACTTAAACCACTTTCGAATAACAACCGTGTCCAAAGTGGCTGAAATTTTGGTAGGTTACTGTCAAAAGATCCATAACCACAGAATAAATAATAGTACTACGTAGCACGACTACATTCAGCAGCTTTTATTGACGAGTGCTGCCATCTTCACGTTGAGGTCGGAAACTTTTCAGAACACTTCTTACTGTCTTTGTCACGATAGTGTGTCTTGAAAAATTGAGGTTTTGCTTTTGTAATAATATTTAGCTTTATAGAAGAATTTATATCTAGAACATTATTTCAATTTCTAAGCAACATAAAACATGTAGGTACATATAATTTGGGAAATTTAAGAAAAATTTAATAATAAGTAATACTTTCTTAAAAATCATATATTCTTGTTAAAATGTGAAAACAGAATTACATTACAAAATTTATTTTTTAAAACCGAAAAGGCAGTCGATTATTCCATTGATAATTTGGCGTAACAGGCTTGTTTTCATTATGTGGCGATAGAAGGTTCAATCCTTGATTAAGAGGCGGATTTAGAGGCATGGGTATCGCTACCGGGACGTTTAACTTTGGCAAATTCAAGATGCTGCCGAGAACATTTTTACAAAAAGCTCCAGTTATTCTATCCGCCATGTTGCCCCACAACCCCATTTGACAAAATCTGAAAAAAAAAACGATATCGGCAAATCACGGACATTAAAAAATGTATAAGAATATAAAATCACATCATTACACATTTTGATATATTTATTTAGTTGCAATGTAAGTACTTTATTGTATGTGTAGGTGTGCTGCGCACACACATGTAAACTTCGCAATGTTGTATTGTAACTATATTATGTAGTGAATAAGATTTTTCAACCAGTCACTAGTTGCCCGCCAACTGTATGGCACGTTCCGCTATAATAAATATATTAGTAAAAGATTTCATCTTTCATTATGGTCACCAATAGGCACCCATATGGAGTCAGCTCCTAAACTGGTGACCCCGACGTGATCAAGATGACCGAAGTGGTCTATGTGATGTTAATGCAGTAGTGGGCAATATTCGCGTGGTTGTGATCGGTGGACAATAGATATAGTAACATGAGTGCGCCGTTTCCGCCTACGTCACAGAACGTGCCGCCTGTTAACGTGCCACCCGTTCAAGACATCCAGCCACCTGCGCAACCGCCCATTATGGCGCCAGGTGTAGATGCAGTGTCCCTACAGTCTCGCCTCGCAGACTTTTGGACGGACCAGCCACGCGTATGGTTCGTACGCACGGAAGCTATCCTCGCACCTCAGAGGTTGAGTGATGAGGCGAAGTTTGACCTGGTCGTGTCTAAGCTAAGTAAGGAGGTTATCGCGCAAGTGACGGACATATTACTCAACCCGCCTCCTACCTACAAGTACGACGCACTCAAAGCTCGGCTACTCCACATCTATGAGGAGTCAATGTCGAGGCAGATCGAGAAGCTTATGAGCGAGCTAGAGCTGGGCGACCAGAAACCATCTCAGCTGCTTCGGCGGATGCGTGAGCTCGCTACTGACAAGGTTCCTGATGAAACCCTTCGCGTCTTGTGGCAGGGTCGTCTTCCGACACAAGTCCGAGCCGTGCTAACTGTGTCCGACTCCAAGGACCTGGACAACCTAGCAGCAGTTGCAGATAACGTCATGGAGGCTGTGCGGCCTTCCTATGCCGCCACCGCTACTTACACCGTGCCAGCGCCAGCATCTACTACCGCCTATGACTTGGCCCTGTTGAGAGCTGAGGTGGCTAAAATAAAGGCTACCGTGGACCGGATCGATCAGCAGAGGTCGCGGTCCCGCGCCCCTGATCGCAACCGGCGTCGTTCACAGTCCAGGCGCCGTAGCAGTCCCTGCCGTCCCCGGAAGGAGAACTACTTATGCTTTTACCATTACAGGTTCCGAGAAAAGGCCAACAGGTGTACGAAGCCTTGCGCGTGGAAAACAACACAGCCGGAAAACTGAGCAGCGAGGTACAGTCCGAGGGTCTTCAGGTCTGTACCGTTTTTCCATTCAATCGTTTGTGTGTGTCAGACAGTAACTCCGGACTTAGATTTTTAGTTGACACCGGTGCCAATGTGTCTGTTTTACCAGCCGTGAGAAAAGATCGTCTAAATCAGTGTAGTGAATATAAATTATACGCAGCTAACGGCAATGAAATCGCAACTTACGGTACCAAGACAATAGTGTTAAACTTAAACTTACGCCGACCTTATCGTTGGGAATTCGTTGTAGCAGATGTCAAACAACCAATTTTGGGCGCCGATTTTTTAGCGTACCACAAACTATTAGTTGATTTAAACGCGCGTAAATTAATAGATAAAACTACAGAATTGAATGTTTCGGCATCTGTTGTCAATGTATCTCAACCTAGTGTTAAAACTATTGATGTAAATCATCCATATCAGGATTTATTGTTAAAGTATCCGGACATCACTAAACCAGCGTCATTCCGAGAAACTGCGAAACACGATGTCGTCCACTATATCGAGACCTCTGGCCCGCCCGTGCACGCGAAAGCGCGCCCGTTGCCACCTGACAGGTATAAAAAAGTTAAAGAAGAATTTCGCATCATGCAAGAACTGGGCATCTGTCGTCCTTCAAAGAGCGCGTGGGCTAGTCCGCTCCATGTAGTTCCTAAAAAGAATGGAGATATAAGACCTTGTGGGGACTATCGCCAGCTGAATGCGATAACAAAGCCCGACAGATACCCGATTCCTCGCTTGAACGATTTTACTTTTATTCTTCCGGATAAAAAGATATTTTCAAAATTAGACATCAATAGAAGTTATCATTTTATACCTGTCGCACCAGGTGACGTGGAGAAAACCGCTATCATAACACCATTCGGACTTTTCGAGTTTCCTCGAATGACCTTCGGTTTGCGCGGAGCAGCACAAACCTTCCAGCGCTTTATGAACTCCATTTTACAAGGTCTTGATTTTGTTTTTTGTTATTTAGACGACTTACTTATAGCTAGTGACAACGAAGTTCAACACAGGCAACATTTAGAAATTATTTTTAAAAGGCTTAATAAATATGGAATTTCAATTAATTTGGCAAAATGTCGTTTCGGACAAACTAAACTAGAATTTTTAGGACACGAGATTAGTACCGACGGCGTCAGGCCGTTGCAAGATAAGGTTCAGGCAATTGTGGAATTTTCGAAGCCGAAGACTGTTGCAGAACTAAGACGTTTTCTCGGTATGGTCAATTTTTATCGAGCTCATCTTCCCAACGCAACTTTATATCTAACAGAATTAAATAAATATCTTAAAAGCTCAAAGAAAAATGATAAGACTCCCATCGTCTGGACGGATAGTGCGAACGAAGCATTTACGCAATGTAAGGCAGGTCTCACACAGGCCGCTACATTGACGTACCCTAGAGTGGGTTCCGCACTCGCTTTAATGACTGATGCATCTAATACATGCGTGGGAGCAGTCTTGCAACAAAAGGAAGGAGATAGCTGGAAACCATTGGGCTATTTCTCAAAAAAATTGACCACCACCCAACAGCGATATAGCACATACGATCGCGAGTTGCTCGCTATATACTTAGCTATAAAACATTTTCGGAAATTATTTGAAGGGCAAGAAATAACCGTGTATACGGACCATAAACCTTTAACTTTTGCATTTCAAAAGGTAGGACGCGATGAAAGCGAAACGCCTCGGAGAACGAGACATTTAGCTTTCATAAGTGAGTTCACTACAAATATAAGACATATAACCGGTACGAATAACATCGTAGCTGACACCTTATCGCGCATCGAAGCCGTGACTATGCCAACTGCGTTGAATTTCGATGACATTGCAAATGAGCAGCGTAGCGACAGTTATATCATGAATGTTATGTCTGGTTTAAATACCGATAATATTTTGTTAAAGGAACTAGTTATACCTATGTTAAATAAGTCTATTTTTTGTGAGATGTCTACTGATACAGCTCGTCCGTACCTACCGGAAAAGTTTCGACGCCTAGCTTTTGATAGTTTACATAATTTGAGCCATCCTGGAATTCGTTCTACGCGAAAGATGTTAGCCAAAAAGTATTTCTGGCCTAGTATGAATCGTGATGTTTCTTTGTGGGCAAAAACGTGCATACAATGTCAACGTTCTAAAGTTAACAGACATACGGTATCGAATCTGACTAAGTTTCCGGAAGTAGAGCGTTTTGAGCATGTGCACGTCGATATCGTTGGCCCTCTTGAGATCTCACCAGATGGTTATAGATACTTACTCACGATAATCGATAGGAGGACCAGGTGGCCTGAAGCTTTTCCGTTACGAGACATTACGGCAGAAACTGTTGCCAAACATTTATATGAAGGTTGGATTTGTCGTTACGGTTGCCCGATAAAGTTAACTAGCGACCAAGGTCGCCAGTTTGAGAGTAGTCTTTTTAACCAGCTGTTAAAAATGTTGGGGGTTAATAGAATTCGAACTACTCCTTATCATCCGCAAAGCAATGGCGCAGTTGAACGTTGGCATCGTTCTTTAAAAACAGCACTTTCAGCTCGCCTGTCACATGGGTCCTGGGTGGAAGAGCTACCCACAGTATTACTTGGGCTTCGCGCGGCCGCCCGCAGTGACTCAGGGGTTAGCGCCGCCGAGTTAACGTTCGGACGAAACTTACGTCTACCGGGAGACTTTTATGACGGCTCTTCGAACAACCGTAACGTCAATGATTATTGTTTAGTGGATAAGATTAGAGATACTATTCGTAGTTATAAGCCTACATCCGACGATTCACGTAACTGTCATAGTTTTTTTGTGCACAAGGACTTACGTAACTGTGAATATGTCTTTGTTAGGGACGATTCAATACGTAAACCTTTGAAACCACCCTACGACGGTCCATACCGCGTGATAAAAAGGGGCTCAAAAGTTTACCTAATTCAATTACCCGATAGACAGGTACATATTTCTATCGACAGATTAAAGCCTGCATATGTATTAAAGGAATGTGATGGTAACGAAGCAACGCCACGCCAAAGTAACGCTGACAACGCAGCGGATGTGGCACCTGCGCATGTACGGTTTCCGTTACCACCGTCCACACCGCTGACGTCGTTGTTACCCGGCCCGAGCAACCCGATAACCGTGAAAACAACGCGAAGTGGTCGGATTGTTAAGTTACCTTCACGATTTATAAGCTAGTGTTAATATAAAATATATATTATACAATTACATGTCTAAATGATAATCAGGTTTAGTTACTATGGATGTGAAAGTATTATTTGCATTGTCAAGTGCATAATATTTTCATTCAGGATATTCAAGTTACATTATTTAAGTTGAATGTAATTGTAGAGGTATCGTGTTCAGTATTTTGCGTATACTGCACTTTCATATAGGTTCCAGGTAGCTAGTTTAGTTATAATGTATTTTGTAGCGGCGACGGTATATATATATAATTTCATTCGAAATACTTCCTTTGCGATAGCATTAGCGCGATAAGTTTTACGATTTTTACTATGGGTAATTTTCAAGAAAAACCAGTTATTGTTTCTCAGGCTCAAAATACTGTAGAGAATAAAGTGGATAATTTTCAAACATGGTTATATGTGATAGCCAGTTTTATGGGGGCGATAATCCTGTACACTATTTGGGTAAAGTTTAATAAGAAGTTCAAAAGCTGGTTTCGTCATCAGGTGTTAATGACAGGCGTTCCGATATCGGGCCAGAATATGGGTCAGATGATAGGTGCTTCTAGCACCAGTCTGCAGCATGTGCCCGCGCCCGCCGCGGCCGCCACCCCTTTCGCGGGGGTCTCCGTACAGCCCTGCGCACAAGCGCATTAGCAAGTTTTTGTTGTTAGTTTTAAGTTTATATTCATTGTATAGTTTTAAGTTTTTTGTATTCATTTTTTGTAAAGGGGGAAGTATTGTAGGTGTGCTGCGCACACACATGTAAACTTCGCAATGTTGTATTGTAACTATATTATGTAGTGAATAAGATTTTTCAACCAGTCACTAGTTGCCCGCCAACTGTATGGCACGTTCCGCTATAATAAATATATTAGTAAAAGATTTCATCTTTCATTATGGTCACCAATAGGCACCCATATGGAGTCAGCTCCTAAATATGTATTTATAATGACAAGTTTCCACTGTAAGTTTGCTACGTATAACAATCTATGAAATCCTATTTTCAATTATCTAGTAGTGTGAGAGTTGAATAATACTGGATGACCTTTTTTACCGTCTGTAAAAAGAAATAGGGTGTAACATGTGAACGGAGTAGAAGCCTACGGCACTGATATTTTACAAAAATTTATAAACAAAAATTTTGAATTAAACGTCTGAAATTTTTTTAAACAATTACTTTGCCCTCTGCCCTTGAATCCCGCGAAGTGACAAGGTCAAAGATGCCTACTAAATTTATTGTTTTATTGCCGTTCGTAAAGTAGGATTGGATATGATTTGAATTTCGATCGATTTTAATTAATTAATTTATTTAATTCAAAATTTTTATTTTTTGTAAAATATCCGTGCCATAGGCTTCTAATCCGTTCACATGTTACAACCCTATTTTTTCTAGACGGTAAAAAAGGTCATCGAGTATATAATCTAAGATAGTGGTTTCTGACTTATGGCAGAACTACAAATCAAATAACCAACAAGTTTACTTAAACTTGAAACAGCATCTAATAGTACGATGATTGTTATGAGCCTCCTGCCAAGCCCTATTTGATGAATCATTTTTGTCAACTCTACTGTGTGCGGGCCCATATCAATGATGATGATGATTCTATTAGTACACAACATTTCGCAATGCATTTAATCTACAAGTACGTACAAATATTTTTCATTTACGTTTATAGGTTGGAAGTATAAAGTATTATCTGTATTATAAACAAATATAAAAGGCACCTATAATAATTTAAAGTATGCAGTAATATCATAGATAGGTTATCGTTAATTGTATTTTTTTTAATCTAAATTATTTCTTACCTAAAGTTCTTATCCATAGTGACTATATCAGAAATCTTAATGAACTGGTCATTTTCAGGTGAGAAAGGCAAGAAGTCGAATAATTTCGTATTGTTTTTCGTCTGTGTAGGACTCAAGTTGTGAGCGAACTTGCTTATAATGCCCACGAATGACTCCCGGACGCGATTGTCAGTGGAGGATACTTCTAACCCAAGTGGCTTCCCTTCCTCGTCCAATGGTTCAAAAATATATGCAAGTTCGTCTCCATGCGACGGTCCTTTCACTGGTGCCTTTAAATTATTATTATCGTCACCCTCTGTAAAATAATTGAGTTTTATATAAGTAATATTTTTATATAAAGATTTATATTATTATATTAAAAATTTTTTATGTTAAGTTTTATATAAAGATAATTATTAAAAAAAAAATAATTTTTGTTGAAAAACCAACCAAAAAAGGCTGAAATTGGGGAAAGCGGAAACAAAAAAATAGGAAATGGTTTTACCTAGATATTAATTTTGGCATAACTTCAATATTTCTAAATCATCTTCAAGGGATCGAAATTGATAGATAATATTTTAATAATATGGTCCTGTAACTATGTAAGTACTTAGTTTATTTGTTGTTTAATTGCATCTTTTTTATGATTTTTGGAAAAAAGATCCAAACTATGTTTAATGTGCTCGTGTACTATAAACTAAAACACTTATTTATTTAGCATTGTGTTCGCGATCAGTAAGGGATTATCCGTATACCCACGTGTGAGAGGGACACCAGGTAGAAAGTGCGAGCCTTTGCTGAGGTTGCCAACATGTTCGAAGCTGTAGAGGTAGGCCGGGCTGCCGGTGCTCCACGCACGAACACTCTGGTATGCGGGGAAGTTGAAGAGTGCGTCCCCTGAAAGAAATTTTTACATTTATGCATAAAATTTCTATGATTGAAATGGGCAACAGCGTCCTCCTAATAACGACTAAAAATAAAAATAAACTGGAGTTGCCAATCTGCTCACCAAGCGCTGCAACTATTGCGAATATCCCTATGAGGCAATCCCCGGGGGGGGGGGATTGCTATGTTCAGCAGTGGACTTAAGTAGGCTGTAATTGTAATGGTAGTTTCGAAGTAGTTAATAATACTGGGTTCCAATCAGAAAGGGGCACATAGAATATGGCAATGACATTACCAAAAGAAAAATTATCTTTTTGTGTGATAGACCCATGCTGCAGCTATGGTTATCGCACGAATGGATCGCCTCGACCGGGGGAGGACCATCTTTCAAAATACCAGCGGTAAAATAGCAGCTCTGCTGCTGTTTAGTATGGTGAGTGTAGAGAATCCGAGAACCTTTTCCGAGTCCTCAGGGGTGATAAGCTAACGTGACCATTTATTTTTTGATTCAAAACGGGACATTGGTTTATTTAGGTCAATTAACAGAGAGTCAATCAAATTTATATTTCTAATTTATATTATTTTTAATTTATATTAATAAAATTTATATTTCTCACAGGAACAAATTTGCTTTAATATAGCTGGTGGTGATATTAAGTAAGAATGAAACTCTTGGCACCTTTTTTTATATTCACCTAAATTATCAACATCGCCTTTAGAACTGAAATTTGTAATTCGTCAAAAACTTCTGCATCTTTAATAAGTTAATATATTCCTTTTCAATTAATACATCCAGAGATTTTTGAACGTTTTCCCATGCGGAACTTTTTTAAATCTGCCCAATAAAATATCTCCATTTATTTGGTAAGAATACACGTCCACTGCTCCAGATGTTTACGGCTTGTTTCATAAAATTCTGTAGCCGCCCTTTTCACCAATTCCTCATCTAAGTCAGTGACATTATCTTTCGATTTCTCTTTTAATTGACGGACCGTAAATGAAAGAAACTGATTTGTCTGTTTCTGAGTCAAATTGTCTTTTAGTTGATTGATTTTTTTTTTGCAGCTTCTATACTATCTATAATAGCCGATACAGTCTGAACTTCAAGTTTCAATACAGCTTGATGAAAACTTGCTGACTTAGCGTGTAAAGAATAAAGCCTAGATTCGGATGTGGGATCTTCAAAAAAGTATTTTAGTAACAAAAACACAAATTTTCACTCGGTTTCAGAAAACGGGACAATTTTGCGTCCCATAGTTCATTTCAGGGACATCGGGACGCGTAACTATAAAAAGGGACAGTCCCGTTTAAAACGGGACTTCTGGTCACGTTCGTGAAAACGCATCTGCATTTTGACTATTAATCGAGGATAAATGTGGATGCTTATGGGCCGCAGCATCCACTTATCATCAGGTGGACTGTATTCTCGTTTCTGATTTTCTATAAAAATGGTAATATTTCATTTTTTGCGGGGTTATTTTTTATTAATACTATGAAGATTTCATGAACATAATAACAATACCTAAAAGCACCCTCACAGATTGAATAAGTTTTTTATATACATATTAAGATAATTTTAATTTATATTGTCTTGGATACACATAGCCCTCAGCACAAGTTTTTGTCATCGACTTATTCGTATCGTCATCAGCTAAAATTGTATGGAAATAAAAACAGCGCAGTGTCGTTAGTGTGTCGGAAGCAAATATAACTATTTTTTGTCATGCAAAATCACTCGATGGCGGCAAGAACAGGGCCTGATTTACCAACAGGCTGATTATGCTTATAAGCCTAGGGCACATGGTCCGAGGGGGCGCTGAGATTGCCCACTTACTGAGAGAATAAAACTTGGTAAGTATAAAGTTCTCTATAAGGTATAGAGTAAGTGCCGCAAGCATTTTACTTGTTACACTTTCTTTATTTTCGGTACAAAACAAATAATTAGATTACAAAAATAATAATTAGAATTATTTCGTGTCTTTCGTCTTTCATTGACTGAGTGGCTTTGATTCAAAAATTTTAAATTGCTCAATCTCTCTTTTCTACCTCTAATTTAATTTTCTTTTGCCAATGCTGTCCAAGAGAAGAGCTTCTGTCAGCTATCTCATCCACGTCTGCACAGTAAGGACAACTCATTGGCCCATGCCGCCAAGAAAAAAGCCGATCTTTTAGGGTCTCTTTTGCGTTCAACTTGATCACTCTTAAAAGTAAAGTTACAGCCTATATACTTCCTACTGCTGGGCACAGGCCTCCCCTCATTTCTGAGAGGGTTTAAGGGCAAGGAAGTGTCCACCGCGCTGCCCCAATGCGTGTTGGCGAACTTCACATGTCTTTGAAATTTTTTTTTTTCTTATTACTCAGACATGCAGGTTTCCTCACGATGTTTTCCTTCACCGCCGAGCACGTGGTAAATCAGCACTTAAAATTGCTATTAACAATTTCATTGGTGCCGGCGGGGATCGAACCCGGGTTATTCGCATTCTGTTATATTTACAGCGAGCGTTAACCATCTGAGCTACCACGACTCTATCACTCTTAAATTAACTCAATTCTTCGTATTAAGGAATAAAGTTAATTTCAGACCGTTTATAAGGATGCGTGTAAGCTTAAATAACTCTCTAACCTACTTCTGTAGTGTCGATCACTAGGTGGCGATAACCGGTGAGTGTTGATTACTGGTATTTCATATCGATTGTCGATTAATGGTGATTTTAAAGAACTTCAGTTTATCTTTTTAATTTAGTATAGTATGTTTTCTTAGTATAGTAGGTTTTTTGATTATATTTTTGGAAATCTTATATAAATAAAATTTATATTTTTCTTGATACTCTCTTAGAGTCGACGCTACAGCTTCTACATCATCATCATTACAGTCTTTCACAAGTCCACTGCCGAACATAGGCCTCATGAGCCACATGCATCCATCGACTTCCTGCATGTCTTACCATACCGTCACTTCATCTAGTGGGGAGCTACCCTAAGCATCGTCAGCTGTTGCATGAGTAGCTGACAAAGACGACTAAAGTCTCCTCTATAAATAAACAGATTATAAAAACACACACATGGATTGAAAACCAGCTGCAAGGTAAATTGGATTGGAAGTTTATGACCTCAAACGTATTTTTCATTTCGAAATTTACTACTGTCTCATTTCTTAACAATATGAAGAGAAAATTGATATTTATCTAGCAGGATCCTCCCTCGATTGTGTCAATAATTTCAACTGTTTTTATCTTCCGTATTAATTTTTTTATGCAATTGTTTGGTTTATTCAATGTTTTATAAAAATTTTATTGTATATATCTTTAAAGTAAAGTACTGTAAAATAACAGCCTGTATAATATGTCCCACAGCTGGGCACATTGCTCCTATAGCTTTAGAAGAGTTTTAGGAGCAGGAGAGAGTTCCGCATCAATCCATACCTATTAACAGTTTGACGGTTGGTAAATATTTTTAATAAAATTATATTATTTTGTTCTAATAAATACTCTACTATTGCTGTCCCAGTTCTTTAGCATATCTAATAATCATTGTCTGAACATCCTCTCTCGTCAATCACTATTAATCATTTGGACGTCACTATTGTCATCTTTGAGGACTTAAATGTAATTCCTCGCCTGCAAAACCGAAAGACAGCAACGCCACTACTGCTACTTGGTGGTAGACATAGGTATGAGAGTGTGATACCACCAGATAGATTGCTGGGCAGAAACGGAGTCTAATGCGATATTTTAAATATCAAATAAAAGAAAGATTATAAATCTACGTAAAACAAAAAAAATCATTTTATAAATACAGAATCGAATAACATGAACTTGACCGTTCTTATATATAATTACTTAAAAATGTTTTGAATGCTTTACATGACCAATGTTCATGGTTACCAAAAAACGTTATTCAATGTGTAGTTTTCGCGTAAATGTATTTATGTTTATGTTAAAATGTATTTAAAAAAAATGAGAATAATTTGATTAATGTCTTCAAAAATCAAACCATTACCCTCATTTACCCTAAGTAAATCTACCAAACGAGTTTTCATTCACCCTCTCTAAAAAAACTTCTGAACCCCAAAAAACAGGCGCCCCTTTGATTGGGTTTCGAAGGGGAGTTTTTATTATTACTGTCTATAGCTAGGCTGCAGCTGTGTAGAGAATTCATAATATCATTTTTAACGAAATGCTAATCATAGCTAAAGGTATTGTAAAACCGGGTTATATATTACGTAAGTATATGCTCATCAAATAAATATACAAAAAATTACATAATTTTTTTTTACTGTACAAGGGTGACAAACGAGCATGCAGTCCACCTGATGGTAAGTGGTTGTTCGGGCCTATAGACATATACATCTTTCCCCGATCACAAATCAAAATGCACATGTGTTGTCACCAGTGAGGACTACGATGGAATGCCTTAATTCCAGTGAAATGGATCTCCGGTACTCTACACTCACCATACGAAACACAGCAGCGTTGAGCTGCTATTTCACGCTGGTATTCCGTGAGAGCGTGGTCCTTCCCCGGTCGAGCCGACCCATTCGTGCTACAACTATACTACTAATATAGCTGCAACATGGCTCTATCAGGTTAAAAAACCGTGTAGTAACGGTGTAAGAATATCCACTACTCCATGTCGTCCCGTGGGTGTCGTAAGAGACGACAGAGGGAGACAGGCAGGAGATGGACAGCAGCATCTTCCTGATGACAACTCAAAATGACAAATAAAACCGCGGTTGACAACCCGCTCTCCAGGCGCGTCTACTATGGCATGAGGCATGCCCCCATGAGGCAATCTATGGTGTGTTCAGAAGTGGACTTTTATAGGCTGTAACGGACGGAGCGATGAATAATTAAGTTTTCGACGGCAGTTAAAAAATTATTGCTGTTATTGCAGTGAATATTTCGACATAGTTTATATGTTTAATATTTCGACATAGTTTATATGTCGAAATATTAACTGCTTAATCATATTTGTACTACTTAAGTACATAAAACTCCACAGCGTAGGCCTCTTCCATAGATTGACTCAAAGGTAGGATTTTGCCATAGTTGCTACGCTTCATAGGTGGGTTAGCAATCGCAGTTCTTTATTAGAGTTTCATCAGCAAGATGCTGCTGTCCATCTGTTGCCCATTTCCCTTCGTCACCTCTTACGACACCCACGGGATGATATGGCGTATAGGATACTCTCTCGCCCACACTACACGGCACAACTATACATTTCAAGAAGCCATTAAAAATTAAGCTTACTTAAAAATCCATGGTTATTTTTTCAAAACCTGAATACCATAGCTTGATTTTGAGAGAAACACTCTGAACTCTCTTCGACATTACATTTCGCTCTTTACAGAATGTGCACAAGCAATATTATATAATTACATTTCTATAAAATTTTACTTTATACAAACCAGTGGCTTCGGCAATTTGTGTCAGTCCATCGATAGCCTTCAACGAACTGTCAAACAGAGCTTGATAATAGTCTGGTAACGGCAAAATCAACTTCGAACCCTCAGGATTGATTGGAATCAGGCCCTCAACCCCATGTACGACATTGCGAAGACCACCAATCAAATCTTTCTTTATGAAGTCCTTAACGGCGCTTAGCTGATCGATGAGGAATTTCGCATACTTTCCTGTAATAAAAAATTTACGTAATAACATTCAGAAGTATTTGCCACTGTGCGTTTTTATCAGGTCCTGCCTAAAGTTTATACGACAAAACAGAGGGACGGCCGGATAAAAGAATGGGACATAAAGAGTGACCCTCCCAAGTAGCATCACATGTGGTATAACAAAGCGCTACAGTAGCCGCTAATCAGGTATATGTAATGGCTTTACCCTCTTACGTAAGTGCTACAGTAGCGATAGAGAACTTCTCAATCGCTTCTATGCCACTGAAAAGAGCCCACTTATACGGGCTTCATTGCTACAGCAGCGGTACAATGGCGGCATGGTGAATTTGGAAAGCGATACAAAGGTGCGTGAAATAATATTTTGGAGCTAAAAGATATACAAGAACTCTTTGTGCCACCTTTATAGAATTTGAACAAGATTGCAACGAGATTGTAACTCGTAACTAAATCTTAAAGCATCTTACAAATATTTTTTACATGATACATAAATACATAAACACTCACGCCTGTCACCCAGAAGGGTAGGCAGAAACTACAGACTTCCATTTGGCACGATCCTGACACACCTCTCTCCCCTTCTTCACATCCATACACCTACGCATATATGCTCGTCGGTTAAGGGTACTCCTAATTTGGCCCGTTTTCAATAAATCGCCAATTTGGTCGATAAATTTTCGCCTAGGACGTCCCTTTCCGACTCTGCCATTCACTTCTGCAACATAAATTTTCTTTGTCACTCTTTCCTCGTTCATTCTTTCCACATGACCAAACCACCGAAGCATTCTTTTCTTAATCCTGGTCACAACATCATCTTGCAAACCATACTCTTCTCTTATTACACAATTTCTTACCCTGTCATTCAGATTCAGCCCTAACATACTCCTTAACGACCGCATTTCTACTGCGTTGATTCTTCTCTCGTGATTCTTCTGCCACACCCAACTTTCACTACCATACGTTAAAGTAGGTACTAACACAGCATTGTGAATTGCCATACGTGCCTTTTTTGATACATTTTGACTCTTCACAATAGAGTGCAATGCCCCATTTACTCTATTTCCATGATATTAGATATTAGATATTATTATTTTTACATGATGTTAGGAATATTATTAAAATTATTACAAGAATTAGTGACAGAACATTTATATAACAAATATTATTTGAAATTGATCGTGAGGTGTAAAATGATTTAACTTGTTTACGTAGAATAATAGTGCGGGCATCAGTGTTCTGTCAAAATATGCATTGCCAAATTTTTCATGAGCTCACGTAACCTGTAGAATTTGCAGTAATTTGTCTTACTCAAGTGCATTAAAATTTTAAGATTAATTTTCAGTTTCATTTCGATTGAGTTGTTAGAACTTATGGTCAATTTATTTGTGCATGAAAGGCAAAAAGATTTTTTTATTGTAAAAATTATGCTCTTGAACACAAGAAAAATTATTGTTTTATTGACATACATAATTCATCACATACTGCTATGTAACGTCTACTACCTATATCCATTATAACGGTTTTAGAAATAGTACGGCGCTAGTGATAATTATTTTGGAGCTTGAATATCTACAATCACCGAACTCTGGAGTAGTTTTACGAATTTTGAGGTACAAGAGCATCTTTAATAACCTCAAATGGCTTAGCAAGATCCTCCGTTATGCCGAAAATATTGCAGCATTAATTTGGAAATAAATATATGGTAAAGTTGAGGATTAATTTTAAGGACTATGTTAGACAAAAACACGATTCCGTAAAATTTTCCCAATAGAAAAAAAATCCAAAGTTACCTCCAAAATAAACAATAAACCGCTGTTATTCATAAAATACTTTAAATAAGATCATGAAACTTTGCATACAAACTGAACTAACTATAAAGCAGTGCTTATGTTATTTACCTTTTTTTTAAATACCATTATTTTCACTGTAAAAAGAAATTACCTAAACTATCGGCTTCTTGAAGCTTGATTCCCGCCGCCCGGTCAGTTTCCACAGAACACTATTACTACTGTCAGTTTCACTTCGGCCTTTGAAGAGGGAGGTTGTGTCGCTTACGATCAGAATACACATTACGCAACAGGACGACGTAAAATTAAAATGGGAAATAACCGTAATAAAAATAAGAAGCGACTAGGTTGGCGTTAAGAAACAGGCAGAAATATGATAAACCTAATGAAATAAGTGTCTAACGACCTTTCTACTTACAGTATTAGTGATTACAAACATGTCGGTACATAGCATACGACGCGCGGGGAAGTGGGGGCGAAATTAGAATTTGAGCTGACTTACTATATCCTCATAAGAACATTTTTACTATCGAAAAATTTCGGGTTCGTTCGTAATTTCAATTAATTTTGTGTTAAACACGCATGAAAAATTAATTAATAATTCGTGAAAATGTTAAAGTCTTGTACTTACAGACTTTACTGTATTAATAGTAATACAAGACAGATTAAAAACTCTTATAGCCGTATAAAACATATTTAGCATTCCTAATGCAAACATTGGCTATATTTTAACGCTATATATCGCAGATATACTGCTTTTGGTGCTTCTGTCGAGCTATAATTCTCCAATACAGTAAAAGTGGTTTTTAAAATTTTCATAGATCTATTGTAAATCCGTAGACTATATACTCGAGTGCTATGTACAATACTTTGGCTTCGTTATTCCTCTTTTGGATGTCATAGTGTTAATAAGTATATTTATAACTCGCCTATTTATGCAACGTGTGCACAAACGCTCTACAAACCACTTTTTTTATCTCCAAAGCCATCATTTCACTACTTAACGGCTACTTTATCACTCTGCTTTTAAAGAGATATAGGAATCTGTTTTATACAGGCAAAGAAAGGCACAAAATTGGTCAAACAGCCGTCATACAGGAAAAGAGCGATACAGTTTCTGCTTATATTGCTTACTTGGGTTGTCATTGCCAAGTAAAAGTAACGGAGTCATAAAAATCAGATATAGTTTAAGAAAAATTCGCCTTCTCTCTCTCTCTCTCTCTCTCTCTCTCTAACATAAAATATCTTTTAAATTCGGTGATTTGTCAAGTATGTCCCAGAGACATATTCACTCAATGCAGAATCAACATTTTCCAATGCGGAACCTGTTTTCCCAAAAATATTTAGAATTTGTTGCCGTGATTAATATTGAGCAGGAGAAAGAAATATGAAGAGAATGGTATGTAGAAAATGAAATGTATACAGAATGTATACAGAAAAATTAATTTACAACAAATTTTGTATTAAATATAGTCTATACATTTAGAATACTTGTGCAACGCAAGTGTCATAACTCATAACGGAAGCAGAAACGGAAACAGATGTCAAAAGTAAATTTTAGCGGAAACGGAAACGGAAACAGACGCGGAAATACAATTTTTTACAAATATAATTTTTATTAAATAAATAATATTCAAAAATAAGTAGCAGTAAGCTATAAGTAGGTATTTTATGTAAAGTAGTTTAACCGTTTTTAATCTATTCCTGTTTTCTTCATATAAAATCAGCTCTGCTAAATAATTGCTCACTGGCGACGCTGCTAAGAGTAGCTGATAAATATTGGTGCACAAATAGCAAAACATTACGATATTTGTGTGCATTTAATTTCGACCACATAGAGCGATACTCGTGTAGCAGTTGTTTTTCCTTTTTTGTACTGCTGAATGTGTTGGTGTGTCTCCATAAGAAGATTGTCACTCCCATTATTTGTAGTCAAGTCTCGCTAGTCTTTACTCATACTACAGCTGTATCACATGGTTTCTTACATTTTTAATGATGAATTCATCATTGATGATAACTAGGTTAACTTCATTCTCAATTTGAATTCGGCAACTTTTAGGAAGGTATGTCGTCATCAAAGTTCCAATCAAACCGGTATAAAAGTTGCGGAAACAGGAGAAACGGATGTCAAAAAGCGTGCAGAACTTCTGCATTTGCGGCAGCAGAAGCAGAGTTCTGTTGCATCACTAATTTAGAATCAGCATGGTACCGATCAACGTCAATTCCCATCATATCCCATCATATCCCGTCATATTATATTTTCTGGGACCGTGTTATAAAAGCGTGCACATTGCCATTGCCTAATGGAGGAATTACTGACTATATAGACTCCATTTATTGGCATTACTTGTGTCGTTCCTATAGTGCCCGCGTTATCAACCGAGTCATCGAGCAACAAATCGTTGTAATCAGTCTTTCATTGGGCATATGGAGCGTCATAATGATGTGCGTAAGAGCAGGTAGAGATTTATAATAATAATGTCCTCCAGACCGAATTTCGGCCACGGTGGCCTGCCTCAACGGAGGCGAGGCATCGGCGCAGGACAGGATTATAGTGACCAAGTGTATGCGCAAGCACAGGTGCACTCTCTATTCCCTCACTCTCATAATCCGATGGGACGGTAAGCCAACACGACCGGAGAGAGATCAGGCGCAGGACCAACGGCTTTACGTGCTTTCCAAGGCACGGGGGTGAGACACCGCCAACTTCCTGACTCCGGGCAGCGACTGGGAATTTTTTGACAGAAAAACTCAATAATTGATTTTTGTCCCGACCCGGGATTCGAACCCAGGACCTCATGATCAGTAGTCGCACTACTACAACCACTAGACCAAGGAGACGATAAGATTTAATGAATGTTTTATTAAGCTGGGATATTTTTTCGGGATAATTTTTCAATTCATTTAAAAACAAAAATATATTGTGAATATAATTTTCGAGTCACGCAAGTTCCAACAAAAAAGTAACGACTAACTGAAGGAGAGTAGCTTTGTCCACCGCGACAAGGTGAACTCAGGTAGCTAGTGTAGTGTAGTCAGTAGCGGCGGTGGCCGATGGCACATTCCTATTGTTATTGACATTTACGGCCCGACGAGGCAGTTGATAACGCGGACACTATAGTATGACACATCGAAAAGGTGGCTCCGGGCTAACGCCGTACTTATCCAAGTGAATACATAATTTCTGTAGAAACTTAAAAAACGCCGTTAAAAGGTCTAAATTAGTGTAGCGCCCGCCGGGACGATTAGAAATTGTCAGAATCTTAAAATATTTAAAAAAATTATTGATTAAATTAATCAAAATAATGAGCAAGTAAATTAAGAATATTGATGTTATGAATATATTTGAGTGATTCCCAATCATATAGATTAAGTAGTTTCGTTGTAATTTCAACTATAGTGATTTTTAGAGGAGTTTTCGCAAATAATTATGATCAAGTCAAAATTATACAATCGTGTTTTTGAACAAGCAAATTCAAGATAAAGAGAAGAATTTACTTATATCAAAATTCCACTTTTTCGTTAGTGGTGCCATAGTCCTATACTATTTGATGAAAGAAGGTGCATTTTTTCGCGGTGTCGCCTTAACAGATGTACATAACTGTTTCATGAATTGTTATTGTTTTAATGTACCTACATGGTTTATTTTTATTTTACAGGAAATTTTAAAACAGATACAATGGGTGCGTTTAGCAGAAAAAAGCGCTAGCAAGCGCTTGTAAGCAAAATGGCGAAACTAAACAGTTTTCGGCCAGGACACGTATGCTAACTTCAGTAGCACTGACACAATCCGCCATTTTGCTTATTTAATTTGTTTGTTTTGAAGTAGAGTTTATAAGTTGTTTTGTGCAATATTAGTTTTAAGTAATATAATGACATGAATAGACATATACATGTTATTAAAATTCATGATTGGTAAGTTTTTAATATGAATACTTTACAAACATATATTTAAATTAGGTTAGGTTCCCCGGTTAAAACTAACTTCGTGTCCTAGAGGAAAATAGCTACTTACGATTTGACAGCGCTTACCGCTTATGATCGCCATTTTGCTTACAAGCGCTTTTTTCTGCCAAACGCACCCATTGATTACTAAAGAGTAAGGACTAATATGAAATACATGAATGATAGTAATAGGAGAGTACCGAACACAGCTTTCGATGTTTCCGCGGAAGTGACGCCTGTGAGCAGCGGGCAGTGCTGGCGCTTCCGCTGCAGCGACTGTGCCGGCTGCTCCGACACCAGCGGCGGGAGCGCTCGTCTGTCGTCCTCCTCCTCCACGCGTGCGCCGGATCCTAGCACGCATTCACTTCATTAATCAGTTTTGCTAACTCAATGCGAACTACAATGGGCTATACCAATGCTTGTGTCTGGAACTACGGACTTGCATTAAATCTAGACTGCTAGCAGCCGATCAACAGTTTTCTTTGGATGCCAAGGTTGTTTATTAATTTTTGATACAAAAACAGTGGCCAATATGTAATACCTGCCCCCTAATATGTAAGCACCTGTAATACATTTTAAATAATTTAGTCTTTATTAGTTAGGTGTACGTCTATCAAATTTGAGAAAGGTATAGAACATCAAACTGTACTGGCATAATCATCAAAAATATGTAGTTATGAATATCTGCATGGGTAGATTTTGGCAGCCCATAGCGGCCATCCAGTTACTTATCACCAGCCAAATCACCATGGCAAGTTACACGATTAAACAGCACGTTCAAATGAAACTTTATATCAAAATGAGTGTCCGTTAGTGCAAACGTTGCGCGCACTGCGCCCGCTTCACGGTAGACGTGGTGGCCCTTCACAGTCAACTCTTCAACGTTTGGTAGTCAAATTTGAAACGACCAGTTCGTTAAACAATCAGCCAACGCCCGTACGTTCAAGAAACACAAGATTAGCCGAGAACATCGTCGCGGTTCGTGAAAGTGTAGAGCAGAACAGATCCAACTGACCCAGGAGCTCAAAGTTCATGACCATAGAGAAAGCTGTTTATTCGCTGACTGGGCTTCGAATCGTTTGGAAGAGGACCCCAATTTTGGCCGAAAAATCATCTTTAACGACGGGGCCCATTTTTGGATGAATGGCTGTGTTAACAAGCAGAATTGCCTATGAATTGAATATGGTACAACACCAACCAACGCGAGGTTCACCAGGGGATAATGCGTCCTCAAAAAGTTACTGTTTGGTGTGAATATTGGGCTGGCGTTGCCATTGGTCCGTACTTTTTCGCAAAACGACGCTGACGAGGCGGTCTCCGTCAACGTCGAGCGCTACAGAACGATGACAACCAATTTCGTTTGATCCATATGGACCTAGACGATATGTGGTTCCAGCAGGACGGCACTACGTGCCATACAGCGGACGCCACGATTGACATTCTCTATGAGCGATTTGAGGGTAAGCTTATCTCTCGCAAGGGGGATGTGAATTGGCCAAGGTCATACGATTTGACGCCGCTACACTTTTTCTTGTGGGTTTTCTTGAAGTCGCTGGTCTATGCAAACAAACCACAAACGACCGATGCCTTAAAGGTGAACATATGCAGAAGAGTCATTTAAAATTGGACCACTTAGTCTATGCCACTGTAAGAAGCCGAGGCGGGCATTTGAACGATGTCACATTCCACACTTAAAAGTACATGTAGGTTGTAGGCCTTTCAAATAAAAAAATAATTTTGTTAATACCTCACACACAGCTTGTTTTATTTCATTCCAATATCTACCCGCCCTTATTGAAAAACCCTTTACCTCGTTTCCAGTAAAAAATGTCTCCGGTTCTCTACACTCGCCATACGGATCAAAACGCAGATACATTGTTACCCCTGAGGACTAAAATGGAATGTCTCGTTTCCAGTTCCGGGAAAAAGGGTCTCCAGATCTCACCAGATCCAGACACTCACCATAGGAAACACAACAGTATGAAACTGCTATTTTATTACGTTGGTAGGATTATATGAGAGCGTGGCCCTTCGTTGATCGTGCCGACCCATTCGTGCTACAACCGTAATATAGAATTGCAGCATGGCGTACGATCGACGATACTCGAAAGACGTTTAATTTCATATCGTGATTAACACGGATAGATTTACTAAATTGTATATAATGTAATTTATCAAGACATTATAATATGAATTCAGAAGAACGTGAAAAACGTTAAATAAGCTCAAATGAAATGTAGTATATTCCGCTTAATTAGAATTGAAGCGTTCTGTGCTTAAAAAAAATAATGTAATCCTAAATTCAATCGCTATAACAACCGTGGAAACTTGGAAGATTAGGTTTTCTCAGTCAGTTTAACCACGGTCTTTCCATAGGTCTAAGTGATGCTAAGCTTCATAATTAATGTGTCATGTCACTCACCTGATTTACCAGATATTTCGTCAAGAAATGTCCGGGTGTCCACCATATCCATGTTCATGTCGTTGTCAGCCTGTGGAAATATATTTTTAATTAAAACATTAGGTACAATAGACGTTAAAAATTAAAAATTTCCTACACAAATCGAACGTAACTTTTAAATCTTACGATTATTTGAATATAGTACCTAGTCTACTCTCGAGAAGGCATATTTTTTTCTACTTATTACAGGCCAGTAAGTGACTACAATTCCAAGTATGTAATAAGTGGAGGTAAGTGGTGACGGGTGACGGTTCCATTTATCTATCCATAACAACCTATAAAACTCCACTGCTGAACATAGGCCTCCACCATAGATTGCCTCATAGGGATTTTGCCATGGTTGCCACGCTTGGCATGCGGGTTGGCAACGGCAGTTATTGTTATTTTGAGTTGTTATCAGACGGATGCTGCTGCCCATCTCCTGTTTCAGTTTCCCTCTGCCGCCTCCTACGATACCAACAGGAGAATATGGATTATTGGATATTCTAACACCACTCAGTACACGGTGTACACGTAACAGTTTAGTTAGATAGATCGTAATGTAGATAGTTTTGATCGCTTACTTCAATACACTTATCAGATATACTTATTATATCTTTACGAACCTGTATTATTTGTTCTATAGAGAGCTTCCTTAAGCAATTCATAAGTCGTTCCGCCGGTTTGTGAGGACATCCCGTTCTCTTTGCTAGTTCTTGAGCGTGTGCGTCAGGGTCTGGTCGCACCGCGCCTGGGGATAACGGTGCGCCGGACAAGGCTGCCACCCCTGTAGCACCGCGACCTTCCGGTGACAAAGATAATAAGGACGCTGCACTAGCACCAGACCCTTGACCCATAACAACGATCCGCTTCGGATCACCACCGAAGAATTCAATATAATCTTGTATCTAGAATTCAAAAAAAAAAGAATAAACCTTGAGTAAATGGGAAAAAAACCTATGTATTTGTCTAATTAAAATCTGACATTTTTTTTTAGAAAATATAGCATCCTGTCATACCCATGTCATAGCAGCACGTAGGTCAAATAGTCCAGCATTTCCAGGAGCGTCCCTTTGGCCGGTGCTTAAATAGCCTAAAGATCCTAAGCGATATTGGGCAGTAACCAGAATAGTGTCCTTTTGTGCAAGATGTTGTCCCTAAAATATAATAATAAATATAATATAACTTTTAACGGTAAAGTGGATATAACCAAGATGTCGATTTTACCCCGTAAGGAGAAATAGACCCAGATCTATAATTTCCTCCGTGAATGAAAAAGACGACAGGACAACCTGCAATCAAAAATACGGTATTAGGTATTTAATCAAAGGTTAAGTGCGATTAATTTATATTATATATTTATTATTTTAGTAATATAATATTAAATAATAAAAACCTTCTTCCTCTCCAGGCATTTTGGGGGCGTAAATGTTAAGGCAAAGGCAATCTTCATGTCCAATGACTCTTCTAGGATTTCGTGGGTCTAATTGCGGACATGGCGAGCATTGCTTCATAGCAGTCAATTCTCCGCTGAGAAAACGACGCACAGGTCTCTGGAACCTTCTAGAACCCATGGGTGGTTCACCATACCTTGAAAATTTACGCAATTATAAATGAACATTTCAAAATGTACTTAAATAATTATAAAGAAATTGTGTAATGTTTGGTGTAGAGTAAACGCCTAATCACAGATAGTCGATACATGCAGATGGCTGCTTTGTTGATGATGATGTTGATGTTGATGGCGTTCCTTGGGGGAGGCATATGTTCATCTGTAGACATATCATGGACTGTAATTATAATGATGGACGCCTAATAAATGTAGCTGAGCAAACTGTTCCTATACAAAACAAATTTTATATAAAGTGATATATATTAAAAAAGGGCGATAATTCATTTAGTTTCTTACTCCTTTATTCTCATATACTAAGCTCTAGTGATATATGAATGAATAATAATTTGCCAGTAGATAAACTTATAAAAAAAAATTATGAAACTACGGATCGGCTGACCGGCACTTGTTATCTTTATGCTGACATTGGTTTATATTAAATTAAGGCACAGATTAAGGCGAACAACTTTCTGAGAAAACCAATGCGGAACGTTCTTCATATTGAATTCATTCTTTAATTTTTTAAATCATATTTGTCACACGAATGATATTTTTAACTAAATCTGTTTTTCTATTGAATAATGCGGCAAACCAGTACACAGTCCATCCGGTGATGATGGATGCTGTGATCCGTAGAATTCTACGTCTATCTTCGATTTAGAATCAAAATACAGATGCGTTGTCACCCACACGGACTAAAATGGAATGCGTCCTTTTAATTATAAAGGATCTGCGAATCTCCACACTCACCGTACGAAACACCAGAATTAAGGTGCTATTTCATGCTGGTATTCTGTTAGAACGTAGTTCTTTTTCTGGTGAGCCGACCCATACCTGCTATAACCATAGTATAGAGCTCTAACATTGCTTAAAAACGTTTCCCTTTTTCATAATGCATAGCAAAATGAAATAAAGCTATCACACTCACACTTATGCATACCGGTTTTAACAATGCTGTTTTTTGTTGTTGTTGTTCAGTTGATTTACTTAGAAACTGGATTTGTATGAATAAATTAAATAATTTAGGACTGCATGCGGGACGCATTAGTCGTTTAGCGTCTTGTTAATTATTATATAATATTGCAATGCTGGAATACAACTCCTTCGATTTGTACAATACGTTTCCGTTCGCTTTTAATAAGGAACAGAAGAGCATTTTTTATCAGAACTATTTGCAGCAGTTATTCGCAGCAGTTGTCCAGCTCATTTTTTGTGGGGTCATAAAAATAAACTACCAGCCAGATCTATTTCATGATTTAAACTGTATCTAGGCTTTCGTCCTATATCAGGGGTAGCGAAATAATAACATACGTGGTGTAGCTTGACTGCGAGCCTGCGATTATGCAGCTTCGGTGCTGCTGTGTATATAGCCACCATAAATCAGAGGTCTAACATTATAAAAGGTTGAAATATTTATTAAGATGTCACTGTTGTTATAGCAACAAATAATTTCGATTTGTATTTAAGCAACATGACACGATATAAAGTTTTGCTATTGTAGAAAAAGGAATAGTCACTGCGCTATGTGATAGTGCACGGATATGTGTTAGAATTGCAGTCTCAATGCGGGACGTAGTTAAAAAAAAGAAGGAACAAAGTTGTAAAAGTTAAAGTGACGAAATATTTCATCATAAATTAGTGAACCGCTCGGGCACTGTCGACCCAAAATTCATTAATAATTTGTTATTCCTTTAGTCTCCGTCACAGTTATAGTTCATTCAGGTTTAGCGAATATTGGCTAATTATAATTTTCTGACCATATTTAATCACGATCATGCAGTTATCTACATCATTGCCTAGTTAAACTAATAAGTTTAACTAGGTAATAATTTTCCCTGAGGCTTTTCTATTTTAGTTAACATCACACTCTGGTTGAAATTTATATAAGACCACTGTTAAAGTAGCTGTGCAAGAGTTAAACTTATTTTTAAATACCTATATTATGTGATGTTACATACATAATATAGGTATTAAAAAAATAAGAAACAGTCGAATTGATCTTCGATCAACAATACCAACACCAATACTACTGTTGGTATTGTTGATCGAAGGAATTGATAGTCTCATCCTTTTGAAGTCAATTTTAAAAAAAATTACAACAGTAACAATACCTAATGCCTAGAAAAGTAAAATATCCACGTTCGTCGTTTTTAAATCCTTCAAGACGCGCGCTGATGCCATGTTTTTGGACGAAGACGACCGCAGAATCCGGCTCGGGCGGCGCTGCGGGATCTCCACCGACGACGGCTTCTGCCGGCCCCCACAGCACCACCAGTAAGCCCACAACCAAACACAAACGTGGACCGAACATCACTAACCATATCCCGTGTTAACTGCTAACGGAACTCACATCCCGTGATATCTCTAATCTCTGTAACTGACTTTACCTAAAATCTCACTGCCTAAACTATGTTCGCATATTATAAACATTATTAAGTTAGCACCCGGATGACCGAGCTTTGCCCGGTTTTTTTGGAAATTACATTTAGATACAAATTACATACTGATGAATAATATTTTTTGATCTTATTGCCATAATAGTAAAAACTGAACTGGTTATTTGAATAAAAAATCATGAGTGCAATTAGTTTAATTAAAATTTTCGTATTTTTAAAAAATACTAAAAAAAGGGCTCGAAATAATAGATTTTCTCACAAAAGAGGGGAATCGGACCGAAGACGGGACGCAAACTAAGGCATTACGATTTCGCAACCGCTCGATAATCACGTGAGCTATTACGATCATTAACACAGTGTCAAAATTTACCTTCTTATATTGTAGCAGTTTTTCATTGCCAGAAAACATGGACAAAAAGACATTTTCTAAAAATAAATCCTATTTAGATTGATTTATTGCCCCTGAAACACCCCGGACACTAAATTTTACGAAAATCGTTGGAGCCGTTTCCGAGATTCCGATTATATATATACAAGAATTGCTCGTTTAAAGGTATAGGATATGTGTAAAATGTTTAATTTATCCATAAATTCATTAGAGTTTATAAAAGTCCATTGATGCACATAGACATGGAGAGGGAGGGGGTGGGTCCTACATTATCTCATATATTTTATCATAGCTGCCTCGCCTAGCTAGGCAGCTATGATAAAAGTCCTAGTCCTAGTTGTTAACAGGAGGATGCTGCAGTCCATCTTCAGTTTCCCTCAATGGCCTCTTATGACACCCACCACCAGACGATATGTTCACTGATCATCAATTTATTTTAAATATTTCAATTGTGACAACGTCTGTCCGAGATTTGTTTTTCAATTATTTTTGTGATTTTTTAAATTTTGTATGCATTACACAGTAATCTAAAAGCGTCTCCTTTTGTTTATCTTCGTCAACGATTCTGAAATTTCTCACTCAATTAAAAAAAAACACTTTTATTAGATTGTATGTTTGTTGTAAAAGCCCTGTTGGGAAAAAAAACATTTTCTCAATAGTGCATATAAGTACATAATAAGATAACATAAACTACTCTCTCTGCCTACCCCTCTGGGTGACAGGCGTGAGTGTTTATGGAATAAGATAACATAAACATAAATACTCACGCCTGTCACCCAGTGTCGAAGGCAGAGTACGAACTTCCACTTGGCACGATCGTGACACACCTCTCTTGCTTTCTTTATTCAAATACCTAAGCATACATGTTCTTCGGTACTCTTAATCTATCCCATCTTCAATATATGTTTAATTTGGTCGATTAACTTTCATCTAGGGCGTCCCTTCTCGACTCTGCTGTTCACTTCTACAACATAAATTTGTTCTCTCTGTCTCTCTGTTTATCTCTTGTTGTCGTCTCTCTCTGTCACGCTTTCCACGTTCATTCTTTTTACCACTATGCTACACTGACCAAGCCACCGAAGCGTTCCTTTCTCAATCTTGATCACAACATCATCTTCCCACACTTTTCTCGTATCACACAATTTCTTACCCTGCCGTTCAGATTCATCCCTAACATACTCCTTCATGACCGCATTTCTACAGCATTTATTCTACTCTCGTACATCTACTGCCACACTCTACTTTCACTATCATACATTCAGGTAGGGACTAGCACAGCATTGTGAATTGCCACACGTGCTTTTTTGAACACCTTCCCACAATAGAGTTAGATTTACTCTGTATCCTGTCTTCACTCGTCGTTCTGTATCCCTATCATATCAACCATCCCTGCTAAATGCACATCCCAAATACACAAACTCATCCATTTGCTCAACCAACTCTCCATCTATTCTTATTTCACATAACGTTTTACTTTCTTCTCTTTCAAAAACCATCACTTTCGTCTTACTTGCGTTCACTTTCATTCTCCTTTCTTTTATTGAGCTGTTCACTAATGTAACCATAACCACATTCTTCAACTTTAAAAGTTTCCAAACACCTGTCCATAAATAGGGCAAAACAGCCACGGGCAAGCTACACAGCCCTGTCACCTTTACGAGTATTAATGCCAAACCAGTCCGAGTAGGCCCCCTTGATCCTGACACAAGTATTCGAATCCCTATAAAGGGATTTTAATGCCTGTATCAACTTAGTAAGTTAGTTAGTAAGTAAGTAACAGCCTATATAGGTCCCACTGCAGGGCATAAGCCTCCTATCATTTCTGAAACGGCTTAAGGGCAAGGAAGTGTTCGCCACGCTGCCCCAATGCGTTGGCGAACTTCACATGCCTTTAAAATATTTATTTTCTTATTTCTCAGACATGCAGGTTTCTTCATGATGTTTTCCTTCACCGCCGAGCACGTGGTAAATCAGCACTTAAAATAACAATTAACAATTTCATTGGTGCCGGCGGGGATCGAACCCGGGTTACCGCGTACTGTGAAATTTACAGCGAGCTACCAGGGCTCAACTCAAATGTGTTTACCACAAAACTTCCCTGTAGAGTGTCATAAGCCTTTTCGAAGTCCATGAACACCCAAAACTCTTTTTGGGTTTTTGCCAAAAACTTCATGCGCATAAAAAATTCTTCACCCGATTAGTACACCCCTTTTTTAAATCCAGCTTGCACATCCCACTTTTTCAACCAACAACTTAGCACACAGTTTTCACAATGCTAAGCAGGCTGATGCCATGGTAGTTTTTTCATGCTTGCTGTGACTCTTTGGCCTTTACATTTTTTATTTGTATGTTTACCACACTATTTTTTGTTTAATTTTCATCTGACACGGGGGAGTCCATTGCGCAAATGAAGTTGGAGGCTACGGAGGAAGGCGTGCCATGTGTTCTGGTGCACCTTACCTGAGATGTAGATGGTAAAGCGTAGTCCTCTCCCGAAAAGTGGCCGCCATGGGTACCGGCCGGCGAAGGTGGGGACGAGGATGCGTGCGAAAGCATTCCCATGGCCTTGCTAATATGCGATGAAGGTGGAGATTTGGGGTTTTAGTCGGTGCGAGTCCGACATAACCCGTCTGTACCTCCGCGAAGCGGGTATGAATAGGCATTTTGCCGTGTTAAAAAAAAAGGATTGAGTACCTGCCTGTCATAATACGTGAACTTAGGAAGGTGCCTTCTTGATACTTTGAACATATTATTAAATGAGTATGCAGTTTTACCTTTAATAACGACTAAAAGTGGACCAAAAATAGGACGATAATAACATAAGACTTATACTCCAAGCAAACTTATAGGCAGTGGTATTGAAAAAATGTTTTCGATTTTAGAAAGAATTTTACAAATTTATCGAATTTCTAAAGAAAAACAAATGTGCATTCTAAACTTATAATGCAATATGATGTATAGTATTTACTGTTCATCATATAAACTAATAATAATAGGTAGATAATACTTACTTTGAATGGATACCTGTACTAGACTAGACTACTCTCCTTCTGAAATAAATCACGACTTCAATCAATCACACTCCTTCAATCGCTATTTATTCATTCATTCTTGACAAGTGCCTGCTGAATATACATTTTGATCTTATTGACATAATAGAAAAAACTGAACTGGTTATTTGAATAAAAAATCATGAGTGCAATTAGTTTAATTAAAATTTTCGAAATAATAGAATTTCTCACAAAAGAAGGGAACTTGAAAAAAAAAGGAAAAAAAGTCGGACCGTAGGCGGAACGCGAATCAAAGCAATAAGATTTCGCGACCGCTCGATATCCACTTGAGCTATTACGATCATTATAACACACATAGCAGTTTTTCATTGCCTGAAAACACGGACAAAAAGATATTTTCCAAAAATAAATCCTAGCTAGATCGATTTATTGCCCCCGAAACTCCTTGGACACTAAATTTTATGAAAACCGTTGGAGCCGTTTCCGAGATTCCGATTATATATATATATATATTTTTTTTTTTTTTTTTATTATTATATATATATATATATATAAGAATTGCTCGTTTAAAGGTATAGGATTTTATTGTTATTTTTGATTTATTTTAGAGTGACAACATATTATGATTCAGACGTAGTGGAAAATAAAGCCAATTTCTTGAGCAGCAGTATTAATAAAGTAAAAAGAACTGGCTTTCGTTAAAATGATAAAATTCTTTGCAAAATGTGTGGTGAGAATCTGAAGCTCAAAACCGTGCTCTATTGCGATATTAAAATGGGCATATATCAGAAATTACCATATCCATATCCTGAATTACCATATCTATATCCAGCTTCATATTGTTCTCCCATCAGTCCCCATAGGCAGGACTTCCCAATGTACTTCTGCGGTTGTATGAAGCAACGCGTAATTAAGTTTGCCAATGGTAGGAACAAACGATGGAGCATGGAATGGCTTGCAAAGAAGAGGTGGTGCATGGAAAACTCATAGGAATTATGTCATCTCAAGGAATACCAATGATAGCCATAATTGCTGAGGTATGATTAGTAAACCAATCCAACTGCAGAGTGGTGTAAGACAGGGTGATGTTATATCCCCGAAACTCTTCACCGCTGCGTTGGAAGACGTTTCCAAGCTACTGGACTGGAAAGGATACGGTATTAACATCAATGGCGAGTACATCACTCACCTTCGATTTGCCGACGATATAGTCCTTATGGCAGAATCGCTGGAGGACCTTAGCACTTTGCTCAATGACCTCAATGGTGTCTCCCAACGGATAGGTCTTAAGATGAACATGGACAAAACAAAGATCATGTTTAATGTCCATGTCACACCTATGCCGGTAGTTGTTGGGAGCTCGAAGTTCTTGACGAGTACGTTTACCTGGGACAAATAGTCCGACTAGGTAAGTTCAACTTCGACCGAGAGGTCAATCGACGGATTCAACTCGGCTGGGCAGCGTCCAGGAAATTACGACATATCTTCTCGTCAGGTATACCTCAATCTCTGAAAACGAAAGTGTACAACCAGTGCGTGTTGCCAGTGATGACTTACGGATCTGAGACGTGGTCCTTCACCGCTGGCCGTATGAGGACGCTCAAGGTCGCACAGCGAGCTATGGAGAGGGCTATGCTCGGAGTTTCTCTGCGTGATAGACTCAGAAATGAGGATATCCGCAGTAAAACCAGAGTGACTGGCATAGCCCAACGGATTAGTAAGCTGAAGTGGCAATGGGCCGATGTGAAGAATCGATAACCCATGGGGAAGAAAGGTACTCGAGTGACGACCTGGTAAGACAATCAGGAAATCGATGGATGCAGGTGGCTCAGGACCGTGCTTTGTGGCATTACTTGGGGGAGGCCTATGTTCAGAAGTGGACTTGTGAAGGGCTGTAATGATGATGATGATGATAATGATGAGTAAACGTTCATACGGCACAAGCTACGATGCTTCCTCTGACGGTGCGACAATTGATGACTAGCACAATAAAGAAGTGCTGTACTTAGAGGTGAGAAACTAATATTCTATCACATGTTACCGATCAGAAAACAAAGAAACAAGTCTTTGTAACACATTTGATTACTAATAAGGATACCAGTACCTACGCTTACATCAGAAATATCTCAATTCGACTCTACTTTTTTATGCGTGTTACCTCAGAACTTTTTTCTAAGTGAACCGATATTGATGAGTATTTTAATTTGAAAACTGGTGCTTGCCGTGTGGTCACATCGCACCTCCGATAAAATAGGGTTACAACTTGAAAAACCTGGATCTTTAGAAAAGCGAAAATAAACTCATGGATTCGTTATACAGTCTTTATTCTTGTAGTATTAGTATAAAGTAATACAAATTATATATAATTGAAAAGCTTACAAAAAATATGTTTAAATGACATAAGCTATTTTTCAAATTTCCTGAAAAATTACCTGATAATTCCTAATTGTAACAGTATTTTAGATAACTATTTAAACTTTTATTAACAAAAATACAGTATGACAAATGTAACAATTATTATTATTATAAAAATTAGGCAGTTATTTAAACTTTTTTCAATTAATAATATTTATTTAGCTGTAGACTTAGTAACAAAATCAACTCTAACATAAATATTCAAAAATTTTAACTATAACAAAAATGTAAACTATTCTAGGCATCACAATTTTATCGAATCACTTTACAGTACAAGTTCAGGTAGTACTTAATTAAGTTACGCTTAAATAATATTTGGTTTAACGTTCTCCTTAATGAAATAATGTTTAAATACTCAGTAGGAACTGTAATTATCACTATAAAATCAAAATCACAGATAAAATCCAAGTTTCAGTCTTCTTTCTCTTATTATCTTTTAATTAGGGTGCATAATTATCAAAAAATTACTGGTATTTATTCAATTACAATTGGTTGTAAAAAGGCGCATAAAACTGTGGTATATGATTACTATTAATCAAACTCATCAAATCAGCTTTCTTCCTCTCGCTTATTGAGAGCTGTCTGATGTAAGCAGGTTTTAGTCCAGGCAGAACCTCAGGGTGTGTTCGCCAAATTTTAGCTTCCGAAAATCCTTCGTCTTCATAAGAGTTCTTGTAATAAAGAACACAAGGTGTTTCTTTCATGAATTTAACGACCCTGACGTCTTTCAATTTAATGTTACCCGTACCGAAACGTAGTTCTGCATGTAACTTCTTCAGGGATATAAAGTCATTAAATGAAAGCTCATTCACCGAGTATGGGGGCCCAGTTTTTTTGGCTGTTCTTATAATTTGTGCATATTGAGAACGCACGTAAATTGGGCCAGATTTCAAACTGCTTTTAATGCATTTCTCAATTACGGAATGCACTGAATCGCCTTCATTTTGAGTATGTCCAGTCACTAAAAATTTGTGTGTAATAGATTTCAGTGTATCGTATTTGAGTAGGCAATAGGCGTATAGAGCCATTATAAACTTGTTTTTATTTTGTCCTCCGCAGTTGTCTGAATAAAAGGTTATGTCAATAGCAGCATCATAATTAATTTGAGATAATCTTTTTTCTATAAACTGGAGAATACAAGTACCAATTTCATAAGAACCACGATTACCTGTGCCCTCATGCCAGAAGTAACATTCAGTTGTTTTAGTTGCAAGGTTGGACACCGTAAAGTTAAAACAGATCAATTTACTTTTGTAGTTAAAATCAGATACGTCACCTTTTGGAACTGGTAGAACAGCTTGAAGATCATAAACTGCTATTATATTTGTTTCCGAAGCGTTATCTTTGTGTTTTTCCTGTCGTGACAATTGCTTTTCCAAAAGGTGTTGATCATATATCTGTTGAAGATATTGTTTGTCCTCTGCGATTTCATAAGCAACACACGGCTCACAGCGATCCTTTTTTGGCTCAAAAAAATACCTAAATTGAACTCTGTGTTAAAAATTTTTGCATACATTACATAATTGCTGTGAGGTCTATTATTAAGCCCACATTCTTCTACGTACTCACGGTGAAGATCAGCTATTGTTTTTCCACCCTCAATAAACTCCCTTGTAGTTTGCTGTCGCAAATGGCTCTCGATGCGGGGGATTGAATTAATATGGTTGCGAATAGATTCCTTAACACAATCAGGCAATTTGTGATGACTGTGATGTTTGCTACTTTTGTCCTCTTCAACGGAACCAGAAGATGTCCTCTTCTTGATTACAGTCTGTATTACTCTATTATTGATGTCTATTGTATTCATGAAGAATGTCTTGCAGATTTGGATTTGACATCCCATTTTGGTCAAGTAAAATGCATGATTTAATTGTCTCCCTTTTTGAGTAGTCGTGTATCTATATTTTCGCTTTATTGGCGCCATATGCCTGTTGATAAAATCTCTTTGGCGGTTAATATCTTTAAGTTCCCAGAACTCTTTAAAAACAGCTTCTCTATCTACTTCTGAAAATTTTTCTTTGCACTTTAACTAACAGCTTTCGCTACACGGTGGTTTAATTTTTCTAGAATCCTTCATCACCTTTGTTTTTAGTGTTACGTAAGCAGATCCTGCATTTCTGGAGATTTTACATTTATTTCGTAACCATTCAGTTGGTTTAGCTACACGTTTTCTGCTTCGTTTTTTCGTGTCTGGTATCGTGTCATCTAGGTTTGAGTACAATGTTGATACTGAAGATGTAGCTGCAGGTGTAGCTTCGAAGTTAGCTTGGTTACCAACGTTGTCTTCAGTTTCGGAATCGTCAGAGATTTTAATGGAACGACGTTCCTCAATTTGAAAATCTGGATCTTTCACCGAATCATCACTATCCTCATTTGAAGTTGAATTAGAAGTGTCTGAAGAACATGTACTTTCTGTATCTGAAGAAGAATCGGTTGACGAGTCATTAATAGGCTTCTCGATTTGCTTGGAACTCTGGTCTTTAACTTCTATTGAACTTGTAAATGGTATCACTTCAGTATTGTAAGTGGCAGAATTACTTATTGTTATATCTGTAAATGCAAAATCGAATCAACAATTATAACGACCACTAAACAAAGGCAACTTTTATATCAATTGCACAATAAAATACTACCATATTTTTCACATTGAGTCTGAAGATCATTTGGCAAATCGAAATTAACTTTCTCAATTGAATAGCTTTTGAAATGTTCACTTCGAGATAACAGTGTTTCAAATTCCGTAGCGTTCTTGCTGGAATTAATTCTTGTCTTATTTTCTGTAAAACACATTTTTAAATTAGCACATCGTTTCAAACATCAAAATTAAAGCCATCATTGCTCCGATTGCACGATTAAAAAAAAACCTTTTTCACTCTCAGCTTCGGGAACAGCTATGAAATCTTGATTAGTAGCTCTTGCGAGGTTACATTGTGGTATATTGAAGTCGATTTTCCCGGTTGATTCTGAAAAAAATATTAACACGAACCTATGATGAAATTCACATAAAGTTAGGCGCTTCAATTAGTTCGTTATACAAAATAACGTATTGTTCTAACTTTTAAAATGACAACAATAACCTGGTAAAAACAGGTAGGTAAGGTAAGTAGGTAAGTATAGTAGGCATCGTACCTTGCAAGTTTGTTCCCCCAATCTTTTGATAATAATCGGCAGGTATATTTCTTTTATCCTTTAGAGCTAAACGCAGAATTACGTCATTATGTTTCATTTTGGCCCTAAAATCATAAATCAGATTCACAGCAAATATTTCGAAAATACCTAAACTTTGTTATGAAACAAGGTTACAAATCGAAATATTCAGACAAAAAAATATAATTTTTTCGTCAAATACTGTTACAACGTGAAAAGTAAAACAATATTACAATAAATCGCATCCATAATACTGATACAATACAAAATATATCACTTTATTATAGAAATATTGAGCTAGTTTGATTCCATTCTTGAACAATAAACTGTAATAATTCGACTTGTAACCTGTTCATTAGACAAATTGATGTAAGCAAAAATATTTTACCCGTCTAAAACACTATTGTATTTTGATATGTAACACTTCTTGTCTAAAAAAACGCACGTCTACCTTTTATAACACTAAATGTAACACTATTACACTAATAGAGATCATTCTCGAGTCAAAATGCTTAGTCATGTACCGTTCATCTAGCGGCGAGTTTTAGAGTTACAGATGTAACCATTTTGGACAAGATAGTTCATAAAATTTTAAATATTTCTGTATATTTAACTCAAAATTCGACTTTTCGAGTTGTAACACTATTTTATCGGAGGTGCGACATATAAATTTGATCAAGATCTGACCAGTAGTTTTTGAGTTATTCCTTAATAATCCGTATTTAAATTCGAATACATTGATGTTGTTCTCATTTTATCTTTATATATAAAAATTACGTGTCACATTGTTCGTCCGCGATGAACACCTATATTACTAAACTGGTTTCAATAAAATTTTGCACACTGTGTGCAATTTGGTCAAACTTGATTGGATAGTTTTTATCCCGATAAATGACCCGCAGTATTCTTATTACAAATTTAAGAATTTTTTACAGCACAAAGGGTCGTTTGCTTTTTTTTTTTTTTTTTTTTTGCGCCCGAAGCAATTAAAGGGCTACCCTGTACGTAGGGAGGCGGAAAATGCATTACGCATACCACGATAGCCGGTCTATCGTGGTTATGGGGGACTCACTGTCCTACCGGGGACCCTAAGTGATACCCCCTAAAAACCGCCTTTGGGGACAGGCAACCGGCTGATTAAGCTCTATTGTGCCTTATCATGAGCGACCCTCTTTTGGGAAAAGAGGGCGCAGGCGGCTAAGTGCCGCTGAGGGAGTGCCTACGAAGGCAAATTAATGTCAGATATTACAATAATTTTATTTAATTAGAGTTGGCCTGAGCCGCCAGGAGACAGTTCAGGTCGTTTGAAAGTTTATTAGGCGGGTCCGAGAGAGAGTTTCTCGGCCTGCGGACACGATAGCGAGAGGGGGGGTGGGGCTGCATAAGAAGCTGCCTCACGAATTAAATGGTTTGGGTGCGACTCTGAGGCTTTGAAGAAGTTCTCAGAGAGTTTTTTTAGAAATTGTTGAATTGTTGGGAGCTCTAAGTCCCGATGAAGGTCGGCATTACGAACGTACCACGGTGCGTTCGCAGCTCGACGACAGAATAGGTTCTGAACTATTTGGAGTTCATTTAAAATGTTAGGGTTTGCGTGGGCAAAGACGGGGCCCGCGTAGGACATGACTGGTCGTATACATACCTTGTAGAGGGTACGCTTGTTTCGAAGGGACATTTTACTGTGTCGGCCCAACATACTGTTGAGCCTACTCAGATAAAATCGTGCGTGACGGGTTACTCTTTTGACGTGGGGCTTGAAAGTAAGCCCTGTGTCTAGAGTGACACCTAAATATTTGGCGGACGTATGCCAGGGGACAGGGGTCCCTAGCATACGTATTGGAGGAGTGTTTTTGAGACGGCGTCGTTTATAATCGAAGTGAACGGCGGAGCTCTTCTCCGGGTTCACATCGATGCGCCATTTTTTGAACCAAGCTCCTAGGTCATCAACTGACTTTTGGATCTTGTTCCGTATGAAGGGTAGTGAGACACCTTTGCAGTAGATGGCAGTGTCGTCTGCAAAGAGGGAGAGTTGAACACCTTTCGACGGGATGGGAATGTCGTTGGTGAACAGGATGTACAGCAGAGGAGCAAGTACTGAGCCCTGAGGGACCCCAGCCTTGATAGTTCGCTGTGAACACAGCGTGCCTTCGTGTCTAAAACGAAAGGTACGATGTTTTAAATAGGAGGCCACGAGACGAACTAGACGATCGGGGGAGACCTATTTTATAGAGCTTGTAGATGAGGCCTGTGTGCCAGACTCTATCGAAAGCTTTGGCTATATCGAAGAAGACCGCGATGGTTTTATGACGTCGAGGGTAGAAACCGCTGAGGATGTATTCCACAATGCGGTGAACTTGTTGGGGACATGAGTGTTTGGCTCGGAAGCCGAATTGGTGGGGGATGATGAGAGGGTCGCCGTCTGTGGGAAACAGAAAGCGCCTCATACGCGTTTGAATGACTCTTTCGAAGAGCTTGCCCATTGCCTTGAGGAGGCTAATGGGGCGATGGCTGGAGGGGAAGGGGGGGGGTCGTTTGCCCGGTCAGCTTGTTTAAGTATAGGGGTTTTCGCGTGTCATCTTTAGTTTTTGCATGAATATGACCATAGATATAGTAGTTATTTTTTATTTAATGTACCTATATAAATTACGTGTCACGTTGTTTGTCCGCAATGGACTCCTAAACTACTTAACCGATTTTAATCAAATTTGCACACCGTGTGCAGTTTGGTGAAACTTGAGAGATAGGATAGTTTTTTTGCCCATGAGAGACACACAATTATGATTTTTTTGAGAATTTAAGGGTTTTTAATGGGACATGACAAAGGGTCCTCGAAAAGGGCAGAATAAAGTCTGCCAGGCAAGCTAGTTTTAATAAATTTATAAGTGTTTTATTTTATTTTAATGGGAATTAACGGAGCTTTAATTTGATATACGAAATGTATGGAGTGCATATTGATTAGGAACATATTGGAGTGCAAAATTAGGGAAATGATCGTGTCCGTTGCTTAGATTTACGTGACTCGAAAGTACCTATAATATTAAATATTAAACAATGAAAATATTACCACGAATTTACAATACGCAAGTACTGTCAATGTTAAATTTAAGCTCATCTAACTACCGTAAAATGCCCTAATTTGACCTACCTAGCCTTACTTTGCCTAAACTGATCATTTGGTATTCATTAGTAGGCTATTACAGCTAGAGACTATATTTTGTGGTAGGATTACTGTCGCATGCCAACGCTTACTTTTGGTTCTGGCAAAAAAGTTGTAAAATGTCAGTGAACGTCAGAATTGTGCCAATTGTGGTCGCTGATATTTTGCCTGCACCATCGAACTATATTACTACTCAGACGAAATAAAAACTCGAGTTTTTATTTCGTCTGAGTATTACTAGCGTTAGTATACCTCAATGGCCTGCATTTCAAAATTTTATTGTGTGAATATTTTAATCTATTTTTACTGATTGGATGAAACATTTTAAATGAAAAATAGTCTTCTATCCTTCCCTCTATGTTATGTTCTTCTAAAACGAGTTTAAGGGGAAATATAATGTCAAATGGCTTAGCAAGATCCTTCGTTATGCCGAAAATATTGCAGCATTAATTTTGAAATAAATATATGGTAAAGTTGAGGATTAATGTTAAGGATTATGTTAGACGAAAACACGATTTCGTAAAATTTTCTCGATAGAAAAAAAATCCAAAGTTACCTCCAAAATAAACAATAAACCGCTGTTATTCATAAAATACTTTAAATAAGATCATGAAACTTTGCATACTAACTGAACTAACTATAAAGCATTGCTTATGTTATTTACTTTTTTTAAAATACCATTATTTTCACTGTAAGAAGAAATTACCTAAACAATCGGCGCGTAAGCTTGATTCCTGTCGCCCCGTTAGTATCGCTCCTTTGAAGGGAGAAGTTGTGTCGCTTACGATCAGAATATACATTAAGCAACAAGACGACGTAAAATTAAAATGGAAAATAAACGTAATAAAAATTAGAAGCGACTGGGTTGGCGTTAATAAACAGGCATAAATATGATAAACCTAATGAAATAAGTGTCTAACGACCTATCTACTTACAGTGTTATTGATTACAAACATGTCGGTACATAGCATACGACGCGCGGGGAAGTGGGGGCGAAATTAGAATTTGAGCTGACTTACTCTATCCTGTTAAGTTGATAAAATCAAGACAAACAATTGTGTATCGCTTTTTATGAAAAATCATATATAAATCAATGTGAAAAATCGATAAAACTTTGCTTGGGGATAGGGTTGTCAATTATTATTTTGATAATAAAACTAGTGAAATTATGCGGTTTTATATGCGCCAGAGTGAACGTAGTTAGAACATAATATTATAACCTTTACGTTTTACATAAATATCCTAAAAGAACTTATTATTTTAATATGTTACTTCCTATAAAAATAATAAGTTTATTGCATTTATTTGAGAATAGACTTCCGTTTGACTACTATCTATTTTTAAGATATATCTATATTTTAGAACTTACTTACGTACTAAATACCTACATAGTCTTAAAAGTACTTCATAAAATCTAAGAAATTATCATCGTATGAGAAATGCAATTCGGGATTTCCAGGCATACCATTTTAAATAAAGTCAACGTACCATTTTTAAAAGTTTATTCCGTTTATCCACACTGAGATGTATACTACATTATTACACCAATAATAAAGAACATATTTAACTTATTTTACCTTAGGGTAGATAAACGGAATAAGTAACCCTTTTTAAAAAATAAGTTGTTTTATTTTCCTATGGTTACAAGGTGACAACCCTGAAAGATTTTCCATAAAATGTCTAAATGTTTTAAATGTCTGCTTAACATTGCCTACCTTCTTAATCGAAAAAAATTATAACTTTTACACTTTATGTCATGGATAAGTAGGAATAATAAATTACAAGGTGACAACCCTGAAACATTTTCCATAAAATGACTAAATGTTTTAAATGTCTGATTAACATTGCCTTCCTTTTAAATCGAAAAAATTATAAGTTTTACACTTTATGCCATGGATAAGTAGGAATAATAAACCAATACCTTATGGGAGCGGAATCTGTTTATTTGGAAACATTTCTAACGGCGATAATTTTAACTAGGCAAAGTATAGGAAATTCGAATAACTTTGCCTGGATATTTCGAAACAAATTTCTCAAAAAATATGAGGTGTAGACTATAGTGGTATAGTAGTTATTTTGCAAGATGCACAAAATTCTCTTTTACATTTTTCTTTTTATGAGATATTGATATGTCACTTTTTCTATGCGTGTCAAGAAATATCACAAAACCTCTTAAATTCGTTTAAAGTTACGGCATTTTACAGATAAAAATTTTTTTAGTTGACAGTATTTGTAGTTTAAGACCACTAGAAATATTATTTTTGAAGTAAAAAGGCGAAAAGCTGATTTCAGTAATGAGGCCGGTATTATGTTCATCCATCCTATATAAGCAAACCGATACTTAAAATCAGGTATCATCATTCTCATTCTCTAAACCATTTCCACCATTTAACCATCTTCTTGTTCCATTCCTCTCTGTCAGCCGTCATTTCCATACTTACTCCTTTCATTCTCATATCACTCTTCACACAATCGATCCATCTTTTATTCGGCCTTCCTCTGCCCGTGTGTCCCTCCACATTCATATTCAACACTCGTTTTGTGACATGATTTTCATCCCTCCGCGTCACATGCCCAAACCATGCCAATCTGCTTCCTCTCACCTTTTCTACCACTGGCGCTACTTTCAGGCTTCCTCTTATATACTCATTCCTTATCTTATCCATCCTTGTCACACCACACATCCATCGTAACATTCTCATTTCATTCGCATGCAATCTATTTTCATCCTTCTTCTTGACGGCCCCTTAAACTTAAAGACTTAAAATCAGGTAGTGTCCATAAAAATGAATGCTGAGCAATATTGTTGTGTAGTTATATAATATTTGCCACCTTTATTATGCACCTGTATTATACCGTAGTCTGAACTGGGGTGTTTTTTTAATTATTTGAAGTATATACATAAATTAATCTAATTTGCACGATAACTGTGCAAATTTTCTATACTGACAACATTATCAAAATTTAGATTAAACTTAAAATAAGCCTTATATCGTAAAGTTAAGGTATAAATTTGTTTGCACAAAGTAGATTATTGATTAGTATCTGCTCTCTCTTTCTAAAAGCGGTGGAAATCTGTCGAAACTATTTTAATTAATAATTTTATTATAACTGAACATTTATTTTTCGTTTCTTAATCAATCCGTAAAATTCTTTTGCTAAAATGAGTCTTCCTTTGTAGGTAGATTCTTCCTCATATGAAAGTATAAGTAATACCCTTTAATTATATATGTACCTGTCAAAGGTAATGCCATTAAAATATACCTACCTATGACAGTTAAGACGTCGTATGATTTTGTTGTTAACATAAGAGCATTTTTATTCTATTTAGTGATAAATAAATAGTAATACTATTCGTCAATCATTGGTTTAAATTAATCGGCCGTAAATAACACCGTATATAAATTTGATAATTTTATTAAATTCTTTCCATAAATGAAATCACTTACCGATCATAAATATCAACTTCATTCTTTGAAGGTAATGTCATATTAATATATAATATAATTTTGTACATATTATGATTTTAGTGTTTTAATTTTATTTAAGTTAATCTAACTAAAATATTGCACACGATATTAAAATAAAAACTATACCCAATTAAGAAAAAGTAAAAATTTAAATAAGTACTAATCATATTGTGGGTAACCTTTTAGTTAGATTTAATTTTATACTATGTTTAACAACGTTCTTAAATAGAGAATTTTATTTATATTCTTATTTATGCTAAGGTTAGGTACTTACTTTACGCCTTTACGAAATTTAATTTAGAAAACTTGGAAATAACGTAGGTGATTGCATTTTAAATAAAAAAAAAATAAAATTCTGTACAATTTTAATAAGTTTAAATTGTTCTTTTCAAATTTTTAGTTAAAAGGTAAAATTAATTCAGCCTTATAATATTATTAATATGTTTCGACAGCTACTACGTCGCAAGTAGAAACCATATCTCCTTCAAATTACTTTTAAAAGTAAAATAATATTGTTTACTACCTTTCATGCTTTACTATTTAAGTTTAAGCTATTCTTTTCATCTTTGTATTTGTAAACTAATTAAATTTTGCTTATTTATGTAGAAAAACATTTTAAAACATTTTGTGCAATTTTTGAATTATACTCCAACACTGTGACGACACGCTGTACGCCGCGTTTGCGTCATCATAACGTAAACAGCGCTCAAACGGGGAGGACGTGGGATGCGAGTGGTAGTGCTCCGTTAGAAACATAATTATTATTTCAAATGTTTCTAATGTTTCTAATATCGAAATTATAAAGTACAAAGATTTAGGATAGGTAAGATTATTTTTCTTTTATGGTAATTAGTTTATTGGTTATTTTAGTAGATTGTCTATTAATATTTGAATATGTTTCAGGTTCCAAACTCATTCGCCGCCATCATGGCGTCGGACGAACAATTTTCATTATGTTGGAACAATTTCCACGCCAACATGTCAGCAGGCTTTCATGGCCTGCTGTCGCGTGGAGATTTAGTAGACGTAACGTTGGCTGCCGAAGGCAGGTTATTACAGGCACATAAATTAGTTTTATCAGTATGTTCTCCTTATTTTCAAGAAATGTTCAAAATGAACCCTACTCAGCATCCCATAGGTATGTGTTATTTATGTAATACGGTGGTGAAGTTAAATTCTAATTGTATGTATTGTTGTTAATAATTTCTTTTGTTTCAGTATTTTTAAAAGATGCTAGTCATTCAGCGCTAAGAGACTTATTACAGTTTTATCAAGGTGAAGTTAATGTTAAGCAAGAAGAATTAGCGTCGTTTATTAGTACAGCGGAACAACTACAAGTTAAAGGTTTAACCGGTAACCAAAATGATGAAAGTTCCACGCCATCCAAACCAAAGCCGACCTCTAGGCCAGGCCCGAGGTCGTCACAACAAAGGCAATCTGTTATGACTAAGTTAGAGACTGATTTAGATTCTAAGCCCTCCTCAACTCCAGTAGCAATTAAGAGACCAAATAGGCCATCAATAGCATCAAATAATTCCTCATCATCTCAAAGCGGTACTGCGAAACGAAAATGTGTAGACCCCTTAGAAGCCGGACCCTCAGGATCAGCTAAAGAAGAATTTGTTACGATACCGGACGAAGATGAAAACAACGCCGTGGCACCGAAAATGGAACCAGAATTTGTTAACGAAAGTATGTGGGATGACGATGATGAAGGCGCAAATAATGATGAAACAAACTTTGGCGAAGACGACTCTAATATGGAAATGACAGGTATATTTTTATTATATATCATTATCTTCTGTATTTAACTTGCCATGGTATTGTAATATTTTACATATTCAGGTTTTGATGGCTCTGCGACTGGAGATGGCAATATGTCTGGCGGCGGGGAAGGTGGCGCTGTTGGAGATGCACAAGGTAGGTTTACAAATAATGTCTGTTAGTTTCTACGCACAGAATTGTGTAGAAACTACCCTTTCAACGTACTTGATCAAGGCCAAAAATTTAATATTTCTTAATTTTGTTTGTATAGCATATATCTCAAATTGAGCCTTTATCATTTACGTTACCTAGATTAGTAATGAAATTTATAAGTTAGCCTTAAGTAGTTTTAGTTAATTATAGTAATATTATTTGCAACTGTTCCAGGGTTAATTCCTGTTCTAAAAGACTATGTTCTGTTTGAACATAATCTTTTAATAGGAAGGTAATTGAAAAGGTAAAATAAATGGTTAAGGTATGAGAAAAGGTAATAAGGTAAACTGTGGTAACAATTCGTAAGCGGCGGTAAGGTTATGGTAAAACATTGGTTAATCGTCATAAGTGGTGATCATTGTAAGCAGAGGTGGAGTATGATATCCGTATATCGTAATTGGTATGTGTGGTCCGATTGCAAATTGTACAGTATAGAACTAGTATTGGTAAGTATTAAGGTATACGGTAGGTATTGGTGCCCGAATACGCTAAAATTTGATATGAGTAAGGCCCGGATTACATTTTGGGAAGTTAAAAATGCTAGTGGTATGTACAAATATCTGGTGCGTGTGAGCAAGCAGTGACAAGTTTGAATTAAATGTCTTGCTCACTTGTCAGTTTGTCACTCGCACTTCATGTCGTTTCTCAACGTGTAAACCGGGCCTAAGATTTAATCTAGCTTTTGGGTTATTAAATATAGAGTGGTGAAAGTAGGATGCGTTGCGTTATTGCGGTATAAGATCGTTTATGTTTGGTACCGCGTCGCAACTGAATTATAAGGGATGGGAAAGTGGCATCTGATTTTTTTATTAGAATGATATATGACCGTTATGTACGTACGTCAATTTACGGTTCAGTAGAGTAGTAAATTAACGTGGGTACTTAGGCCTAATCGCGTCTGGCGACATCGTGCGAGATGGGCTAACAACATAGAATTCTGAATACGAAGTAAAATTAACGACCGGTAGTTTTACGTAGGTGCCTACGGAATTTGCAGACAAAACCGTATGTGTGGCCTAACAGTTTTGTTTCGGAATTCCGTATGCGGTGTGGCAAGGCTTACTAACCTGCAAAATCTAGCGTTTATCGACCTACACTAACATAAGCCTTGCTGTGCGACGTTTTTTTTGCATGCCTAGTACCTAATTTAGTTCGGTATAAACATCTACCTACCTCTTTTTGAGCCCACTTAAAATCAACTAGTGCGTATATGTATGTACATAAGATTATTACATAAGCGATTTCTTGCTTGGGTAGTTTCTTCAAAATTATAGCTGTTACTCCTTTTTTTTTGGTAATTGAGCTGATAGGGCCTTCACAATAGCAACTTGCGAGCGAGTTCAAAGCGAGGCGAGGGCGAGAGTTTAAGAGGGGAACTCTTTAAACGCTAGTCGTAAATCGTAGTGTTAAAACTAAGCGCCCATTACATTATCCAATTTCCAGAGCGCTAGATTTAGTGTTGCGAACTATAAAAAGAGCTCACTCATTAAGACTAACTAGCGAAGCTAGTAAGAATTTAATTTCTTAATATCAAAGCCACAAATGGTTATTAAATACAATAAAAGTATGAAAGCAATCGATCGACATGACCAAATGTCTTACTATTCATGCGAGCACAAATCGTTGCGATGGTATAAAAAGGTAATCATACATGTTATGCAAATTTTATTGGTCAACTCCTTTTTATTATATAACAAATACAGTTCAAATAATTTAACATTGTACGATTTCCGCTTAAGTGTAATTAAATCAATTTTAGAACCTCATTTGCCTCCCGCATTACAAAGGCATTTAATGAATAAAATTCATTGTATAATGAAACTACCAAAAGATACCCACGGCAAAACAAAGCGAAGACGTTGCAATCAATGTTGGCGCACATTTAAAAAAAGGATTCAAACTATATTCGCATGCGACGATTGCCCCGGTCAGCCAGGATTGTGTATTGAGTGTTTTAGACCGTACCATAAATATTAAAGAGCGTTTATACCATCCACTAGCATCACCAATTAGTGAACGGCGTAAAAGCCTTTATTGATCACCTTCGTATTGAAAATTTTAGTGTCGCCTAAAAATGTTGATTTTAATTGTTTTGTACTGTAAAAATAAAAAAATTGATTTACATAATGTTTTATTTACTTAACTAATTTCCACCACTTAACAAACACAATATTACAAATTATTATTCATTAACATATTCTTTAGAGTATAACTCAGTCTTGTGGATTAAATTATTAAGTAATAGATAATAAAATAAGTAAATAATCAATATATTGATAAAGTATTCATTAATAACCATTCATAGATTCTTTTGCGTTTCAATCATTATATAAGTATAACTTTTTAATCCCAGTTATCAGACCTTAATTTTAATTTAATTTTTACAAAATCACTAGGGGTAGGGCAGACAAGACTACGTGGAGTCGGGGTGTGCTAATTCGGTTTTAGAACCAATTCGACCTATTTTATCTATAAAGTCTAGTTGCTCTCTCTACTAGCTCTGCTACTAGAGTGGTGAATGAAATAATGTAATGTGAATTGTTATAATTTTGTTTTCTGATAAACCTCTTGACTGCTCTCCACTGCAACTCAATTTGTTGTATATAAGTCCCATCTCCAGCCACAAATGGATTGTTTGGGTCTGAGTGATTAACTTTTCTATGAGTGTATCTGTGTTAAAAAAACAAACTGACATAATATTTGCGTTTGGTTATATGTAATTTAATTAATCAAAATCAAGTACCGGATGTCTAGCCAGCTCGATATAACCTCAAAACTTTAACTATCGATATCTCGAAAAATAAAGATTTCCGGCATAAAAAGCAGCTAAATGGTAATCAATAGCATCGTTGCCTGTCAACTAAAGCTAAAATAGTCACTTAAATCGTGCAGCAGATTACTAAAGTCGACCCAAAATAATACATTTTAATCTGATACCATATTCTTAAAACTGAAAGCCCGTATTAAATTATTTCAGGGTAAAATTGTCTATTCACAAGTATTAGAAATTCAAAATATAACCTTAACAATAACCACAATTTAAAAGGTTGACAACCACTGCTCAAATTACGAAACAAACTTACCTTTTATTTTATCCAAAGAGTTTTTTGCTATTTTTACAAGCCGAATAGTTCGCAAAAACACTTTTACTTTTTTTCCACTTGCGTAAACACGTTAAGTACACTGTGACGGCCACAAAAATTACAAAACAGAATTTACCCTTACGTAGTGCCAGTGAACTCGCGTGGCGAGTCGATCAATTTGTATTGCAGTGCCGGCGACTCGCCTGGCGAGTCAACCGTAAAATGTAGGCGGAATCCGAGAAGACATCATGAAAATCGTAGGGGTGATGAATGATGTGTTAAGTGATCGTCGTCCAAACCGCATCTTTCAAAAAGCGCTAAACGAATATGGTACTATCAAACCACCAGAAAATTGGCATTGCTTTATCAATGGTGTCAAGTTTAATGATAATTAATTTTTAAAAAAATGCAAAAAAATTTGGGTGAAAGATTATATTACATTGCTGAGACAAAAACTGTCAAATATTACGTTGGTACTCTTATTAGTTTGTGGTAAAGTATGAACAATGTGAATCCTTTGTAAACTTCCAGAAGCACTTTTTTCCATCATTTCTTATACCTTATATCTTTGTGTTTATAATCATTGTTTTTTATCCCAAAGAAATGGCATGTTTTGTATAATACATTATTTCCCATTTAAGAGCACTTCCTTTTCCTTAGTCGATGGTTGTGTCACGTTACTTTGATCTTATGCCGAAAATACGTCCTGTTCGAGCGTACGCCGACTGACTGGCCTAGCGTAGCTAGTGTAATCTTTCATAAAACTTACTGTATCTAGTATGGTATATGAAGTAAGCAAGGAAATAGGAAAGCTAGCTGAATCAACACATGACAGTACAGTTTTTCATAATTCGTACCTCCGAGCACGGCTGAATAACAATGAGATAGATGGTCACCTCCTTGGAGACGGTGAATATATACTTGTGGAAAGTAAGTATATAACACCATTTTTAAACCTAGCTATAAATGCAGAAAAACTACAATGAAGCACATATCAAGACCAGAAATACAGTTGAAGGGACATTTGGTGTGTGGAAATTCCTCGCCTTCTAAAATTAGATCATACATTAGCTGTGATAGTTGCAACAGCTGTGTTAGGCGAATGCTACACGCGTGATATTTATCACGATCCTTGGATCGCGATCCAGGATCATATTTATTGAACGTTTAGTATCAAGCATTGATGGATCGCAATACGGATCACAGAATTTATAGATTTCCGAAAATCCATATCGTGATCCAAGGATTGTGATAAATATTGCGCGTGTAGTGTTGCTGCGATACGGATCGCGTCAGTCTGCTCCTCTGGAGAAGCGATGGAGAAGGACTACTTTTGAAGCGATGCGGGCGAAATCGCGAATGAAAGCGAGAATCCCTGTATCAGAAACAAACTTTTTTATTCAATGTAGATTATAACAATACTTAAGTCACTCTTTTTATTTACCACTGGTTCGCAAAAAAAACCTTTGTCGGGAAGAACCAGCAAGAAACCCAGCGCCAGTCAGATATAAGGGAGCAGTCAAGGTCGTCAAATATTTTGAAACATCCAAAGTGATCATAAACATTCAACCATCGAACGCGTACGTCAAATATATGCGATCATTTAAACCGTTCAATATTATACTGACAACAGAACGCCGATGGTATCCAAGCAGTAAGTATTCAAAAATTTGGAACAATTTAGGAAAAGAAATTTTATCTTGATTGATACAAGATTGTATTTTGAATAATTTTAAAATTCAATTCATGCATTTAACACAACAGCAAGAAAAAAAGGAAATTTTCTTTAGTTTTTTTTTAAATCTTTATTTATTATAGAGGGTTAGATCTACTAGATCAAGTCACCCTCATAGGTACACAATCAAACACATAATCAGACAATGATAAATTCACGTAAACAAAAGATTACCTGTTCTTAATACCTAATATAAGTTTATAAAGTTTCCTAGCTTTATCCGACAATGGAAAAGCTAGGATACTATTATATAGTCCAACACAATTTTGTCAAAACCTAATTGCTTTCTATATGCTTCGTTCCGTTCACATTCCATCATAATGTGAATAACATCTTCCACAACTCCACATTTGTCACAATTTGGTGAATTCACTTTTCTCATTACAAACGCAAATTTGTTTAATGGTACATCTCCGGAACGAAGCCTCATTGCTGTAATAATTTCTTGCCTTCCCATATTGCATCCTTCAAACCAAAGGAAGCGGGAAAGATGCGGTTGTATCGTCGTACCAAATACCTTTTGACAGTGACCTTTCATCAAAGTATTCGGACCACTTTTCTGTGCAGTTTTCACGAACTTTAGATAGGAGTTCAGAGAAATAAGGTACACAGTCAAAATTCTCCCCATCACTTATCGCCTCTTTAGCAAGAACGTCTACTGCCTCATTTCCCTCTAAGCCAATATGGGAAGGCACCCATTGTAAGATAATGCTTTTGTTGTCAGATTTTAACGTTACAATATTATTTAATATGTCGTAAGCCAGTGGAAAACCGCGAGACAATGAAGTACATTTCTTTTAAATGTTGAAGGGTACTGCGAGAATCTGTTAATATCGGCAATTTATCATACTTAAGTGACTTGACATAAGATAAGGCTTCTGCAATTGCAATGAGTTCCGCATGCATAACTGAAATTTCCTTACCTAAGCAGAGCTTAACATATTCTTTGGTTTGAATGTCTAAAAATGCAGCACCTGTTCCTTCTTTATCCTTAGAGCCATCAGTATATACTTTATAACAATTTGTAAAGTTTCAGCTAAATATTTGACATAATATTCGTAGGTAATGGGGATTGTATTTATGTTTAGGCGCATTTACAAATTCTATTTGAGGGATTATTGAATCGGACAAATCCAACTTGCTAATCCACGAATTGAGTGAAAACATTTCTAGGTGAGGACTTGAAAACAACGAGTTTCTTTAAGTAATCTATAGTTTGTAACTAGCAGTGGGGTTTTGAAAATTTACAAACCAATTTTAAAATTTATAAACCAAAATTTACCAGCTAAATATCTTCTCCGAATAAATAATGGCTGTAAAAGCAATTCCGATTCCATTACATGGATAGGAGTGCTCGTGACAAACCCACCAATTAACCGCATACACTGATTTTGTATTACGTCTAATTTTATTAGATGTGTTTTATGGCTATTATCAAATAAGAAACTGGCATAATCCAATCTACTCCGTATAAAAGCTATATATAAGCGACGTAGCTGAACTGGGTGTACTCCCCAACCTGGTATATTAAAACTTTCAAAATATTTACAAACTTAAGGGCTTTCTCTTTTATTTCATTTATGTGCTTGTTCCATCGAAGAGATCGATCTAACCATAACCCTAAATATTTAACGCTTTCAACGATTTTAAGGCTTCTCTTGTTAACCGTTATATTTATGCATTCCCTTACGCGTCCATTCTTAAATATGCATACTTTACTTTTCGATGAATATATTTCTAGGCCTAACGTAAAAAATAAACTAGTAAGAGTATTCAGAGCTAACTGTATATCGATAACTCCGTTAATGATACTGTCGCAATTTTTATATATAACAAAATCATCCGCATATTGAGAGATATAAACATTCTTGACGCTTTTACATACATTAAGAGTAGCTATATTAAACAAAAGAGGAGATAATGGATCTCCTTGGGCGAGACCTTGCTCCGTAAATCTACTGATAAACACGTTATCCACATACATTTTGAGATGTCGTTTATTAAGGAAACTACTAAGATATTGACATTTTTTTTCCTACATTTAGTTGATCTAAATTGTACAGTAATGCATTTATGTCAACCTTATTATACGCGTTGTCTAAATCTATGAAACATCCTATCGTTGACTGATTCTCTGAAAACCCTATTTGTATCCTTGATACCAGACTATCTAAGCAGGATCGGCTTCTCCTAAAACCGAACGTATTAGAAAAAAAGACTGTTTTTTCCAGAAACCACTCTAGTCTCCCTTTAATAATTGAATGAAAGATTTTGCATATGCAAGAAATAAGTGATATTTGGCGCAAGGACGATACTTCATTAATGTCTCTTCCAGGCTATGAGATTTCTATAATACCAATATCTCGCCATTGTGATGATACGAAACTGTTAAGAAAAGCATTATACAGCTTGATTAAAATGCGTTTGCCCTTAAACGGAAGGTGTTTCAACATTGAATATGCTATGCCATCGCATCCAGGAGATGTATCCTTTAATTAAATATATGTGTCAAACTCCTGAATCGAGACCTCTTCCTCTAGTAACATGTTACTAGAACTGAAACTAGCCTGTTCCGGTGAAACAAAATCTGGCGTTAGACTGCGAAGAAGTATTTCCGCTTTTTCTTTGTCTATTTGGTGGGTATTATGTGACCTAAATACAAAAACCTTTCATCCATCTCACCTTATTCCACATATCCCTAGTGGTTGTTTTTTCATTTACCGAATCGCAAAACCTCTGCCAATTACGTAATTTAGCCTAACGAATTAACCGCTGTGTGTCTAATTTTTTCTTGGAGTACATATAGATAAATTCTGAGGTGTAGAGTTATCTAAACCTAGCCAGTGCTTGTCTACGGATAGCTACCGATTTCGATAATTCTACGTCCCAGTAAGACTTCGGTACAAATTTTGACTCTGAGTTTTGATTTATTTTTATAAAAGGGATATAAATATGGCTGCTAATTTTAAATATTTCAAAAATATATGTAACATTTGTGAAAGTCGGTTATGTGTATTGGGAACTGATCAAAAGGGGTTTCAAGAGTACTCTTATAACCGTCCCAGTTTGCTTTTTTAAAATTTCTTTTAAGATCACACTCTAACCGCTTTTGACATAAACCTGATATTTTAATTGTAAGATGATCACTAAAGTCTCTCGAAGTATCCTCCAATTAAATTTATGGACGATATCCGACGTCATAAGCGATAGATCGGGAGATGACGCTTGTAAGACTCTATTCACGAATGTAATTCGAGTGCTTTCTCCATTATTTAATATAGCAAAGTTAGTATCTAAAAGCGCTTCAAATATTTGTGAACCCCTGTTATCAGTCTTGTACGACCAGCTTGAGTGGTGAGCGTTGAAGTCCCCAATGATTACGGTTTTACAACTAAATGTAGAAAATAATTCATCCCAATTTCTTTGGCAAGTGCGCACTGACGATGGACAATAGATAGAAACGATATTCTCTAAATCCTGACAGTTAAAATTTTTTATATAAATAACTTCTATACCACCATTACTTAGTTGTAAATGCCCGCTAACCGTTTTAAGAGATTTGTGCGCTAAAACAGCAACACCCCCATAAGAGTCATCTCTATCATTACGGTAAATATTATAATCTTTGATTTTAATATAAGTTTCAGAGTTTAACCAAGTTTCACTTAAGGCTACGATATGTATTTTTTCCAGAGTTAATAAAGGCTCTAAGGGCGCTTTTAGTGTCACGCGGATTTGCTCACGCACGCGGGATTGGACCGCATGCGTAAAATTTCACGCTGCGGATCATACGCAGCATGAGTTTCAGTTTTCTACGGGCTGCGTAACGGTATAGACGTGTTCAAAAATGATCAATGTCAGAAGAATATGTGTCGCTTACATACTTTACAAACGACGAAACAAGAAGACAAGAGTACATGTTGATCCCTTTCTTGAAAATAGGCTTCTTGCTGGGGCGTTTGTTACACGCTTTGGAAAACTACAAAATAATGAACGTAAATTTAAAAATTACTTTCGAATGTCCATTCGTTCTTTTGATGAACTGTTGTGTAAAATTGAGAATAAGCTACAAAAAAGCAGTTTACGAAGGATTACAATACAACCGATTGAGAGGCTCGCTATTACATTAAGGTAAGTTTTAAATTTTAAATATTTAATTTCCTGCTATGATTTAGTGGAAAGGGATTTGAACAGGTAGGATAAACGTTTTTTGACTTCAAATTACTGTCATGTGTAAATTTACATGTGCAAAAAAAAAATTTTGTCATGTACTCTGAAATTTCATTGTTCATAATTTCATTCAATTTCATGTTGAAATTTCATTAAATAAGATTATTTCACTCATAAAATGTCGCCATTAAAGTGGAATCATTCCTACCTTTCATCACACGCTACTTATTATAATATAGATAAAAGTTATAGGTTTGCACATGACAGTAATTTAAAGTCAAAAAAAGTCCTTAATTGGTTTGGGATTGGTACGTTCAACCTACATACACAATCCTTTTTTTATCTGATAAAGTACACATGGCCACAGATCAAGTTACCCAAAACCAGCATAAATGGAACTCGCGCCTTGCGTATTATCATACTTAGGTAACCCGTCGGAGTCCCGCTTATACTGGATTTGAGTAACTTGATCTGTGCCGTGTGTACAACCGCACTCATATGACTAAACAAACAATTAGAGAGAAACTGGAGAAAAAAAGTTAATCGTACTCATTTTAATAAAAAGAGTTTTATTCATAAATTAAAAAATCAAATTTTACATCATTCATTTCTTTGTAAATTTGTATCCTGAGCGTTGACATTACTTTCGCCTGTAGATGATGTTGTTGCTGGGGTATAAATTACGTCATAAGACGTGATATTAAACAGGCCGCTTTCAGTCGAAATAAGAGTTTCATTGTCATTCACTGCAGCAGAACTAATAGCATTGTCGTTAAGACTCGAAGTATCCTGGATTATACTATTGGTTTGGTAATCTTGATTTATCGGTGACAAACTGTCAAGCTCAGTAAAAGCACTAGAACTTGTTGTAGGTATGGGACTGTAGTATGCAGGTTGTGTTTGACTTTCCATTTCCATAACTATATTTAACACTTTTGTTCTGAACATTAGTTTTTGATATCTAGTGAATCTTTTTAATGAAGGCTGCAGAGACTGAAAGAAAGCCAAATCCTCACTTTCTAGCTCCAGTTGATTAGACTTTAAGCATTCTAATAACTGTGCCTCAAATTCAGATGGTGCTTGCTTTTTAGATTTTACTTGTTTTTGTTTTGATGTTGGGTGAGAACTTTCTTGACGTGAAGTATCTGGTTGCGTGGACTCATTAGGTGTTTCTAAATTACTTTGTTCAGACATTTCTTCACAGAGTGACTCTTCTCCAGCAGTTTCCGTTGTACTGTCTAAGAAAGTCAAAATGTCATAGTAAGAATATTTCTTCTTCTTCTTCTTACTCCCAGAGCCGGATGGCTGATATTTTTCAGATATCTTGTCTTTTTGGTAAGTGTCCCTTGCTGTTCGCCAGCGTTGTTGTATTTTCTTGTCTGAAATGACAAAATATAATAAGTAAGTGGCAAAAGTACACACAGTTTCAGATCAAGTTACCCAAAACCAGTACCAATAAACGGAACTTGCTAGGGCCTCGCCGGGCGCCGAGTCGTCTACGATAATAAACAACGCATGAGTCCTGTTTATACTGGTTTTGGGAAGCTTGATCTGTGGCCGTGTGTACAAATCTGATATTAGTTGGAAATTTAACTGCATTCGATTAAAGGCCCTCCTTAATTCACACATGTTGTCAACTTTACACTGTCTCATGAAGCATTAGATAAATCAAGCAATATATATATACCTATACAGAGTGGAAAAATAAGGCCGCAGTTGAAGGAAAAGTACCCTTAGGCGCAACGCAAACGGCGGGCCGGCGCAGGCCGGTCAATTTCGCCGCGAACGATAGCGCAAAGTGAATCTTATACTAGACGCAGACGGCGCGGCCGGGGCGGCGCGGCGCAGACATCGACGAAATAATTCATTTTTTACAAAAATAATTAGAACTTCATTTAAGGATTTTTGGAAAAACACCGGATTGAATCGGGCAATTTGTTTATTTGTTACAGTAAAATTTGCCATCATCAAAATTAAGGTGAAAACTTCCGGAAGTCACTAGCGCTGTAAGTTTTTAATTTGTTTTAACAAAAATTTGCTTTATTTGCATCTGTCAACCTTCATGAAGGAGGACATCTTGTAATGTAAATATTGCCTGAAATAAACGATATTTCATTATATTATATTATATATATTTATTAGATTCCTTTCATTTGCCGGAAATTTTACCATAGGGGTTAATTTATACAGAGAAGATTTCTTATAAAATATTTACAGCATAGTTATGTGTCTCAAATCTGCTAAAAGTGGCCACTTTTAGCAGATATGAGATACATAACTATACTTCGAACTTTTCATATGAAATCATAACTGCATAAATACCCCCCTATGATAAAATTTTCGGCAAATCATAGAAATCTAACGTAGCTATAGTACTGTAGTTAAAACGAATTAAAAACTTCTAGCGCTAGCTACTTCCGTGCCCTTTCACCTTAAGGGTATTTATTTTTCTTCTGAAGTAAAATTCGAGCGGTGCATGCTGTCTTATGTCTGATGTCAGCATTATTAATATATTATGTTATCATATTATTAATATATTGTTTTTGTTTTCAGATATTTGGCAACTGGTAATACATTCACTGATCTACACTATTCCTATGTGATTGGAATTGCAACAATTAGCGAAATAGTAAGACAAGTTTGTTACATAATATGGATTGAACTAAAGTCTGAATGTATTCCACAGCTTAATGGGATCAAATGGAAAGAAATCGCAGAGGGATTTCTCACATATACAAATTTTCCTAATTGCTTGGGTGCAATTGATGGAAAACATATAAGAGTGATTCGGCCGCCGCACAGTGGATCACTATATTTTAATTATAAGAAATATTATTCTGTAGTGCTCCTCGCAATGTGTGATGCTGATTATAATTTTACATATATTAATGTCGGTACCAGTGGAAGCAACGCCGATTCAACCATCTTTAGAAGGAGTCAATTGTATACGAAACTGGAAAGTAACACGTTGGGTATCCCTGACCCGCAAGAGTTGCCTATTATTTGCCCGGAAGTAGCTTATCCATCTAGTGTAAGAGCAAAGTTGCCGTTCGTGATAGTGGGAGACGAGGCATTTGGTTTATCATCACATGTGATGCGGCCTTATGCTCGTGATAATTTACCTTACAAAAAGAAAATATTTAATTACCGTCTGTCCAGAGCTAGAAGGTACATAGAATGCACTTTTGGAATTATGTCAAATAAATTTAGAATATTTCACAGATCCATGAATGTCAAGTTAGATCTAGCACAATTAATAGTCAAGACGGCATGTGTACTTCACAATTTCATAAGGAAACGGGATGGCTACAAGGTCAGCCATACATTTGTCACAAATGGTTTTACGGGACCACTACCCAGGCAGCAGACTGAAAGTAGTAATACGTCGGCAAGTAATATCAGAGATATATTTGCAGATTACTTTATCAATGAAGGAAAAGTCTCCTGGCAACACCTATATATAATTAATTAACTAAACTCAAAAGGTTTTAGAAGGTTTTTGATGTTATTTGTGAATTAAATAATTATGCTTATATTAATAAAGTAATGATGCTTGTATAAATAAAATAATGAACCAAACACATACCCGCCTCTTTTCTTTCCTCTTCGCTCAAATTTTCGTAGTTAGGTGCCAATTCCTTCAAAATATCTCTCCATGCAGCCTCCCTCGCGTCCCTGTGTTTGTATAATTCATTGCGTTTATCCCACAAAACGGGCCGCAGATGAACTTCAATGATTACTCGTTCTGTATCGATTTTCATTTCGGTAGTACAATACGGCGCGTGCGCCCCGCTCGACTCTAAAATGGGCACTGAAGTTGTAGGCAGCGCTTACGCATGCGGATACCCCGCACCGGGGTGACGCCCCGCACAGCGCCCCGCGTCCCGCGTGCGTTTATCACGCTTTACAATAGATACCTATATGAAATTGTTCTTTGCGGATGCTACGCATGCGGTCCAATCCCGCGTGCGTGAGCAAATCCGCGTGACACTAAAAGCGCCCTAAGGGCATTAGCTTAGGCTTAACACTTTGAGCATTCCACTGTAAGATATTAAGATTTACTATTTTATAGTTAAGATCCATTAAATAAGTCCATTAAATAAGTTTAAAACGGTTTTCACCATTGGCCATTCCGAGATATTGTCCACAGTTACCAAAATTAACCACTCAACACATAACTTTATCACTTTGTAAACTTTCTCTTGCAAACTAAAATTATTTAAAAAAAATTCCTTCTTTTAACCTCATAAGTAGCTTACTGAAAGATATTTTATTAGAAGATTCGTTGTTATTTGCCTCACTATAGCTAGTACTAGGTTCAAATCTATTACTTTGTAATGACGTGTCACGCTCTGTACTTCTTTTATCCTTTTTTATTTGGCGCCGGCGGGGCGACGATACCTTAATTTCACATTGGCTAATATTGTCTTCGTTATGCAATATGCTATTGGCCGTCACTTCTGCAAAAGTAGGAACATTTTGGACTTTAGCCGCTTCCCTCTTCGATGTGTTATAATTACACTCCTGCTGGATGTCCATTTGTCTATGTGGTGTTGGCGCAACATAGATTGTTAAAGCCATTCTGTATGTGCAATTAAACTCAGCCATAAGTTCTCGCAACTTTCTTTCTTTAAGGTAAGCAGGGCAAGTCCTAGCTAAAGCCATGTGAGTTCCAGAACAATTGACACATTTGAATGTTTTAGTGTCACAATTCTCGTGTTCTCCCCCACATTTCGGGCATATTGTTTTCTTAAATGGACATAACTTGCGAATGTGACCCAACCTCCAACATTGTGAGCATTGTGAAACTGGATAAACATATGGCTGAACAATTATTTTCGTATCGAAAATGTATACGTATGAATGTAGAAAATAAAAAACAAAGCCGTATGGTTTCACTTGGACACCACCCTACTTGTTTCGTGTAACTTCGTCGCTTAAGCCTTTTAACGGATATTAATTCTGTAGAATCTGGGCATGATATATTTTTCATAATTTCTTCTTCAGATTGAAATAATGCTAGTTTTTACGGAATTTATCGCGTATATTTAACTTTTTAAATACCCGACGTTTCGAACGCTTTACAGCACTCATGGTCACGGGCGGGACTGAGATGTTCAACGTCCATATGTCATAGTTAACCGCGGTTACCATAGATTAAAATTTAACTTTTGTTCCGATCTATACAGTATGAACTTATGGTATCTTGAAGTCTTGCAGTTGTATGCTTGGGTTGGGATTTAATTTTATTTATTATAGGATCCCAAGCAGATGGTAGCACCCAGCCATCTTCTCTATTGAAATTTGGATGTTTTTTGATTTCAATAGCCTCGCGAATCATCCTTGGAAGGAATCGGTGTTCTTTAGCGAGGATTTGCGGTCTATCAAATCTGATGTAGTGACGGGGGCGATCCTGTACGTGTTCACAGACTGCAGACTTCCCGGAGCGTCGATTCTTCACATCAGCTATATGTTCTTTAACGCGGGTTTTTATTGATCTTTTAGTTTGTCCTATGTATTAGAGACCACATTCACAATCAAGCTTGTACACTCCTGCATCTTGCAGAGGGACATTACACTTGACTGACGGTAAAAACTGACCAATCTTCTTCAGCGGCTTGAAGTATGTTTTGATGGAAGAGCGCTTCAAGATGTAGCCAATCTTGTCAGTGACTCCTCTAACATATGGCAGTACAGCAGGTACACGCTCGACTGTGGCCGGCTTCACTCGTTCACTGTGACGTAGGCGCGGGACTCGAAGCTTGTTGTCATGCAAAACTTGCTTGACATGGTGGAGCTCGGCAGCCAGGTGTTTACTGTCACAGATCCCTCTTGCTCTCTGAAACAAAGATTTACCCGCGGTAGCTAACTGTGAAGGATGGTCTATCTGTATGGGTCTTTTTGTTGTGCTGTAAAGCGTTCGAAACGTCGGGTATTTAAAAAGTTAAATATACGCGATAAATTCCGTAAAAACTAGTATTATTTCAATGTGTAGTGTTCGCGTAAATATAAGAAATCATTATGTAAACCAGTACGGACTGGTAATTGCAAATAAACGCCGATTAGAAGATCTAAAGACCAAGCGCGCAAGATATCTAACAGCCTTAAATTTCTTGAAGAGATGCCGAGACCATAATCTCATTCCTACGTGTGTCAAAATATCAACCAAAAAGGACATTCGAGGAAGCGCTAAGATCTTAAATCAGGCGAGTAAAAAAGTTGTTACGGACGGTAATCCAACAAAAACGCTCCGATCTATATGACATAAATAAATCCATAGACACATCATCCAGTGAATTAAAGAAAGTTTTAACGACGTTTGACTATAATTTTTGCATGGAAACATTATATAAACGCGAAATTAGTAAATATAACTAATGCAAAAACAAACATATAGAAAAATATCAAAAAAAACAAAAACAAGTCAAATGTCAAACATCTGAATCATTGCCAGAACCAAAAGCAACCATTGACAAACACAGATCATAGATTAATCGCGCTCTATAATTTGTCAAAACAAACACTGGATGATGCAACAATTAGGGTTTTATCCAAAGACCTCAACTTTGCTATTACACCCCGCAAATTACCGTACGAAGAAATTATCTGTAGTGTCGAGGACTGTTTATTTAAAAACAATATGCGGAAAGAAGATTTGGAGGCGATACGTCAAGACATTTCGTCTATGTTACGTCGATGTTTAGTGCCTAAACCGAATCTTCCCAAAGACGAATTTATAGCGTTAAAGAACCTACGCAATAAACCAGAACTTACGATTCTCCGAGCAGATAAGGGAAACGCCACGGTAGTCATGGATACGTCAGATTATAATTCTAAAATACAAGAACTTTTGTCGGATGTAAGTACTTATAAAAAGGTTAAAAACGACCCAACAAATACCACACTAAAAACAACTAGTGACCTCATAAAGAAACACTCCGAAAAATTAAATCTGGACGTAAAATGGATATTACCTACGTGCGCCAAATCACCAAAACGTCCTATAGTGAGCCAAATCGATTCACCAACTTACAGATTGGCTCAACACTTAGCGAAAATACTCTCACCGCTCAGGGGACATACAAGAGCACACATAAAGGATTCCTACTATTTTGTCAGCGAGATTAAAGACCTACATCTGGCAGACAATGAAACTATGGTCAGTTTTGATGTGCAGTCATTGTTTACATGCTTACCTGTTGAAGACTGCATCTCAATTATAACTAGAAGGCTGGAAGAAAACAACATGCCCGTAGAATATGCAGTATTACTCAGACACTGCCTTACATCTGGCTACCTATTGTGGAAGGAGGAGTTCTACAAGCAAGTAGATGGTGTGGCGATGGGCTCACCTGTATCCCATTGTCGCCGACATATTCATGGAAGACTTTGAGGAGTAAGCCCTGCTTAGTTCTCCCATAAATCCAAGATTCTACAAACGGTACGTAGACGACACTTTCACAATTCTACCTTTACATAAAGTAACTGCATTTTTAGACCATCTTAACTCTTATAAATTCTAAAATTCAGTTCACAATGGAGTTAGAGGCAAACAATTCCTTAGCTTTTCTAGATGTGTTAGTAATTCGGAATCCTGGTAACACCTTGAGCCATACTGTGTATAGAAAAAAGACCCATACAGATAGATATTTAAACGGTGATTCTCACCACCATCCTTCAGAGTTAGCTACCGTGGGTAAATCTTTGTTTCAGAGAGCACGAGGGATCTGTGACAGTAAACACCTGGCTGCCGAGCTCCACCATGTCAAGCAAGTTTTGCATGACAACAAGCTTCGAGTCCCGCGCCTACGTCACAGTGAACGAGTGAAGCCGGCCACAGTCGAGCGTGTACCTGCTGTACTGCCATATGTTAGAGGAGTCACTGACAAGATTGGCTACATCTTGAAGCGCTCTTCCATCAAAACATACTTCAAGCCGCTGAAGAAGATTGGTCAGTTTTTACCGTCAGTCAAGTGTAATGTCCCTCTGCAAGATGCAGGAGTGTACAAGCTTGATTGTGAATGTGGTCTCTCCTACATAGGACAAATTAAAAGATCAATAAAAACCCGCATTAAAGAACATATAGCTGATGTGAAGAATCGACGCTCCGGGAAGTCTGCAGTCTGTGAACACGTACAGGATCGCCCCCGTCACTACATCAGATTTGATAGACCGCAAATCCTCGCTAAAGAACACCGATTCTTTCCAAGGATGATTCGCGAGGCTATTGAAATCAAAAAACATCCTAATTTCAATAGAGAAGATGGCTGGGTACTAGTATTTGCTTGGGATCCTATAATAAATAAAATTAAATCCCAACCCAAGCATACAACTGCAAGACTTCAAGATACCATAAGTTCATACTGTATAGATCGGAACAAAAGTTAAATTTTAATCTATGGTAACCGCGGTTAACTATGACATATGGACGTTGAACATCTCAGTCCAGCCCGTGACCATGAGTGCTGTAAAGCATTCGAAACGTCGGGTATTTAAAAAGTTAAATATACGCGATAAATTCCGTAAAAACTAGTATTATTTTAATGTGTAGTGTTTGCGTAAATATAAGAAATCATTCTTCTTCAGATATTTCTAACTCCACCTCTCTTATAATTCCGTAAGCGTAGTCAGAGAAACCTATAGACTAATGATCGGCGTGGCCTTGAGTGAGAAAGGACGATAACGAATTTTTAGGTTATACAATAATCTTTATGATTTTTAAACACATTTAGATAAAAATTTTAATTGTTCTAAGAACTGAACTGAACAAGATTCACCAATCTTAAGCTCACAAAACACTTTTTTCTCACTTAAACCAACTTGTAAAGTCTTTAAAATCGCTACGCTGTTAAAGTTGTTTAGCAAACTCTACAGTTTGCTAAACAAAAAAACCGGCACGGAGAAAGGGACAAACAATCACACCGCTCTATCTCATTTTTATGCAAGACGTATGCATAAATCTATCTTTTTCGTGTGTGGATGCGAAAGAAGGCGTCAATTTTTCTATAGGTTTCTCTGTCTACGTACGTAAGAGTAGTTAACCTCCATTGCCTTTTGAATTCTCCATCCCATAGAAATGAATGTCGCACAGGTACTTAATTTTTGAACATTTTCGTCATTCGAAAATTGCAACCTTACTTTAAATGGGTTTAAGTATTTCACTCTAATTATATCAGTAATTCCATTTTCTTTGAATAACCGTTCCAAAGCAAATTGCTTGGGCAGCTTTTCACTGCATGCAATGTATACCTCGATATCTGTTTCTGTACTTAAGCTCTCATCCTCGTGCAGTCGTTTTTTCTTCCCCTTTCCCTTCACAATCCTCCACTCGTCATCACTCTCCTCCGTTTCTCTGATTCTTTTAATAATCCTAGGTCTATTTTTACCAATACTATCCCGCTCTTCTACTTCTAATTCTGCAATATCGTCTTCGCTATACATAATATTATTGTTGAATTCTTCATTCTCGTCCGTCATTTTGCGTATACCCGCAAGTACCACTGAGTAAGCTTGCGCGTAAGCAGGCCGCGCGGCCCTACCCACACGCGTGAGTAAGCAATAACAAGCAACGTACGTAACCACTAACGATGCGCGTGAACGCGTGCTACTCGCTTGACGCCAGACGCGAGACTGATTTTCTTTTGTTAAAATAATATTAGATTGATAAATAAAATTAAATCGGATAAAAATGACATCTTTATTTTATTTCAATAAAATTCTTTTATATAAAATTTTGACTTTGATGCTGATTAAACCGAAGTAAGAGCGTAGCTACACCGTCTATGAGGACAAGTAGGACGATACGTCTTTGCGTTGGTGTAATTTATAAAAAAAACATCGTAGGTATTAAAATTCGAAGCTAAATGTTAGAAAAATGACCTCTGAACTGTTAAATATTTAAAGCTGCAATGTAAATGGTAATTTACGTTATAATTTTTTTTCATAGGAGTTTGTGATTATCAAAATTTGTCATCTTTAAGCTAAAATAATATCCTTGCAATTTAATTTGACCAAGCTTCAAGAGCGACTTCCAAATATTTTCGAAAAACACCAAATGAGCAAAAGATTTTAGTATCAAATTTACCTATCTACACTCCACATAAAATTACACTGTACTGTTCCAAACCTAACGGGTATCGGGCATGGGTTTGAAAAAGTTAACCAATAGGATTGTGGGAACTTATGTATTCGGATATAATGTGTGCCACAAGGCCAAGTGCTTAAAATACCTAACTACCAAGTTGCGGATCCTCAGCTGGAATTCAAATAGAAATTGTGACGACAGAAGTTTGTTGGGATTTTTTATAGAAAAAGGGTGACTAAACACACAGTCCACCTGATGGTAAGTGGATGCTGTGGCCCATAGACATCTACGTTATCCATCATTAAGAATCACAATACAGATGCTGCGTTATCATCCCTGAAGACTGACATGAAATACTTCGTTTCCAGTAAAAAGGGTCTCCGGTTCTGTGAAAAAGTGGTCCTACCCCAGTCACACCGATCTATTTCTGCTACAATCATAATATAACTACAATCTATCACAGAATATAAAAACGAGAATGTGTTGCTTGTCTCGAACGCTGCCCTACAAAGATCTGTTGAATGACCTGAGTTGAAAGAATAATAAAAAAACATTCGTCAATAACTTCAAGCGTAGCGTAGTTAATGAGAGCACCATTAACTACCGGCATAGCACATCATAGCATGTTACATGGACTTTTATTGGAATTATTATCGCCAATCGTTCACTGCTGAGCATAGGCCATCGTGAAGGAACGAGTAAAAAATGAAATAATTTGATAAAAACCAACGAATTCTTTTTCGCATTGAAAACTGAAAAAAAAATTTTACTTTATTTCATTTTATTTTATTTTAGATATATTGAAAATAAACAATAACACATAAAGAAAGTAAAATCAGAAACGAGTTTGCCCTCCTTCGGCATCAATTACGTCACTAAGCCGTTGATGCATTGATACACCTTAATGTAACAAAAATTACTTCCTCTCATGGATTCTCATGTTTTTAGAACATGTCGCTTTCGATAGACTTTATTTCAGAATTATCCCAAAGTTGTATCATTTTCCGCCACAAGTTATCTATTGGATTTAAGTACGGACTGTGAGCAGGAAAAGTGATTCGCTCGAAGTTTCGATTTTCGCTTAAATAATTCTGTACCATCCTGCAGTTGTGGACAGAGCTGATCTTGAATGAATACAATTTTTCAAACTCATTCGGATAAAAAACTCTGGCTGTTGGCAATATCACTTCACCAATGATCTCCTTATATTGTTGCTCGTTTAATCTCCCACCAACTTCGATCAGTTCTCCCGGACCATTTTGGCACATCTATCCCCAAAAACCCAAAGTGATTCGACCACTTCTGTTATTAGTTATTATATTTCTCTCATCATATCTGGTGTTACTAATTCCCCATAAAGATAAACGACCACAAGCAGATGAGCAAAATACTTTTTCATCTATAAAAATGAAATTTTTGAAGTTGTAATTTATATAATTTTGTGCAAATTGTAAGCGTTGTGCTTTCTGCCTTAATGTAAGCTTTTTTGCAAGTTATTCTGTGATGAACACCTTGCTCATGAAACCGTCGCCTTATTGTTACTCTGCGATAAACCGAATTCAATTGATAAATGGCGTGAATAACCAAAGCGTTTTGTTTATAGCTCCTTGTAGTATTCTTATGTCTTCTTCGACGCCGGTTCGACGTGGGCGTCCTGTCGTTACGTGATTTTGGATATGCCTTTGCTCAATCCAACGATACACAGTATTTCTCTAAAGACAAAATTATCTTTAGAATTAAACCGATGTAACAGAAATCTCATAATCACGGTGAACAAAAGTCAACTTACGGATATTCCTAGTTCATTAGATATATCTGTTACAGAGACGCCTTCTTTCAGGTGTACAGTTTTATATTTCATTTCATGGTTAATACGAAACGAATTCATATTGTTTTAATTATGAGCAATAAAATCAGAGAATTAGAAAAATGCGAATATTATAACTACGATTAACCAAAGAACATTTAAATTTTAAATCACAGGACACTATTACTTCTAGCGGAGAATTTAAATGTAATGACTGACTTACTTCAAATATGACAGAATACATTTGAGATAAAAATAAAATATTGTTATTACTAGTGATGAAATGAATTTGGTTTTAAATATTCAATTTAAATAAATATTTATAAGTAGCTAAATGTCCCGGTTTCGCCTATTAATTACTTATGAATTTTTCTAAAAGTTTGTCGGCTAAAATATAGCCCAGGTCTCTCTTGGTATTAGTCTCTAACTGTGCGTAAAGCTTTATCACATAACTGATTGTGATAAAACTTGACGAACAGAAATACCAAAAATTTGCCCTGACATAAAGATGACAGATGGACAGGTAAACAGACAGACACACTAAAATTTTAAAAATGGTTGTTTTTTTTCAATCGTATGCACATAATTTCCTGAGCTTCATAGAAGCCATTTATTTTAATATTGCCGACAAACATCAATTTTATTTGACATGCACTTATCAAATATATATACTTGGCATACAAGATTGCATATTATTTACGATTTCGAATTCAAACTCTTATATAGGTAATTCGTAATCTGTGTACAAATATAATATAATATATTATATTTACAAAGGTACAGATATTTTTACATGTTTTTTTTTGGTTTATAAAACATTATCCCACAATAGATTGTCTCCTGTATCGTGGAGGCAATTTTTGCGTTAAGCGTTGTGGGCCGCGGGTTCGAATCCTGCACGGAACAATTTGTTTGTTGTGAAATTTATGTATTTAGTCGGGTTATAAATTCTGTCAAAACCTTATTTTTTGTTTGTAATTTTAAATTTTTTGAATACTGTAGTAGATGAACTTCACCAGTTTTAAAAATATAACGTTTGCCCTTGCCGAAAATAAAAAAGATATATATCGAACTATATAAACTGCACCCACGATACAGGAGAAATTTCTACTGTGGAGGTAACGTTTTAATTAATTTAAATACAAATCTAAAGTTTACCACACGTCCTGAAACAGCGAACAAAGTGGACAAATTGCTCCATAACGCTCTCAGCAATGAGAGGAGGCCTGCGCCCAGCCGTGGGAAGTATTCGTTACATAGGTTGAAACTTTACTGCAGTCATGGACTTTAAAATAGCTTTTTTTTTAAGTATAAGCACTATTATGATAAAACACTCGTGCCGCAGAGAAAAGCACAACCTCAATCATTCTTTAATATTGTTGCTTGTTCAATAACTCAGTTCTCCCAAATCATTTGCCTCCCAATCCCAATGTGACTTAATTTTTCATCTTTTTTTACGCAAAACTAATAATGATTTTCACTTTAGGGTATTTTAGTGATAGAACGGAAATAATGCATGATGAAATAAATGCGAATTATATGCTTTTAAAAGACTTGAATTGAGCAATTTCATCCGTCCCAGCGGAATTAGAATTTAGGTTCTTCGTATTTCTCCCCTTACACAAAAGACGCAGTGTTTTATAAAAATATTAATAATATACGGAACGTGTGTTTATATTTACAAAATTATTTTAGGTTAACACATCGAATGCCCTTTTAAATATCAATGATAACCACGGGGGCCCACATAAAAATTTATAAAAATATTGAGTGTATATAAGAAAAGATAAATTAGCACTATATAATAATATTCATTTATTTATTATTATTGTTATTCTATAATTATTATCGCCAACACGGATCCGTGTATCAGGCCAATAACGTGCGTGTGGCCAGCTACACGGATCCATGTTGGCGAGGGTTGTGCAATAAAGAACATGTTATTATTACAGTAAGTACTTCTGTTCCTTTGCACCATAATGACCACCCCATAAAATGACAGATAGTGTAAACAACAAACATTTTTTATTAATTTAAAACATAAGAAGTTAGGTAAATAAGGCACATATATACACAATATATTAAATACATAACACACTTTAAGAGTGGACATTGCTAAAACATGCTGTACAAAATCCTGGGGATCCATCACATCCTTTGCACTCGTATAAGGTACTCTTTTCTTCTTGGCTCTGCAGCCCTTGCACTCCTTCCTGATGATTTCTCTAGTAATTTTTGTGGAATTACCATCTCGTTTTTCACGTAATTTAAAGTTTTCTATTTTCGTCAAATTGTGTTGAATTTTTAACTTAATTTGCTCCGATGGTACAGGTTGAGGTAAAAGATTTTCTAAGATAGCCATTCTAAAATCATAGAGGTTCATCCTGTCGGAATTTGAGTATTTATTAAATAAGTAAAACGCGTTACTTAGGCTCATTTACAGAATATGTATAAAAAAGTTTTTTGTATCAGCGCAGCGTCTTTCATTGGCATGGGTAATAGGCCAACATTTGGTCCTGAAGGTCTACCCCAGACATAAAGTTATTGTAATGGACGATAGCTGAGCGTTTTAGCAACACTTGGCCCCTTTTGCTAGCAACTTCTACCATCTCGTCGTCATGTTCCGTGGATATATAGAGCACATTCCGTTTGTCTCTCCACTTACCGATGTGGACACCACTCAAGAACGATGATTTGATTTCTCCCTTTCTGAGTGTGACTGAACCGAGATCCACTGGATTATTTTTTCTGGTTTTTCCCAAGGTGCCTGTGCAGTAAGTTTTTCGTTCCAGTAATTTTACTGCCAAATTGTAGGAATTATAATAATTATCCATGTATATACTGTGGCCGTAGTCTAATCTTTCTTCGAGCAATTTCAGGACAATTTTTTCTGTGTGTCCTTTTCCTGAGGTAGTATCATTTGCACCACTATATACTTGAAAATTCAAGACCGTGCCATCCGGTTCCGCCAGAACATATAACTTTATACCGTATTTGTGGCGCTTGTTTTTAATATATTGCCGAAATATAAGTCGACCTCGCCATAAAACCATCGACTCGTCAAGCGATAATTGTTTACCTGGACTGTAAATACGTTTCATCGTCTCATTAAAATGGTTCATGATTGGGCGAATTGGAACCAACCTATCTTCCTCATTTGAATCAGAAGAGAAGTGTAGGCAACTTAGTATTAACATAAACCGGTTTCTCGGCACGTGACGAGAACAACTGGTCATTTAAACAGTGCTTTGTCCAATACTCACTTAGACTATTTAGGCGAATTGTTCCTGTATGCAGGAGCAGTCCAAAAAATGTCCAAAGTTCTTCACGTTCAAGGTCAAGTTCCTTCCAGCGTGTGATTCTTGATTGATCTGTTACACCAGGTGAAGATAGTACTCTTACTGCGTGAGCGTTAGTTTCTTGCACAATTAGGTCTATCAATTTATCATTAATCAAAAGTCTCAATACTTCAAAAGGATTCGCTAGAGGCGGTACTAGTAACTCTTGTGACTGAGTAAAGTAAATTGTCTTCATTGAGCTTCGGTCAGTGCTCCAAGTTTCTGTAGGGCAATCTAGAGAGGGTATATTTTCTTCGTTTCGAATAGCTGCAGCTACATCTCTCGAGAGTAAATTTTCTGCATTATTTGGAATAGGCGAACGGAAAATAGACGAGCTGACTAAATCACCACGTTCTGAAGATTCTTTTCGAGAGGGTAAGTTTTCCGCAATATTACGAATAGGCGAGTGAGGCAAAGACGAGCTAGGTGAATTATGAGGTTCGGATGCTAAATTGCCATCACAGTAGTCAGGAGTAGGCACGTCCGATCTTAACAGGGAAAAACTAGAGGTAGACATATTCTCTCGCAATAGATAATCAGGTAAGTCAGGAAGTTCATTGTAAGCCTGTTCCATGGAAGGAATATGCCGGCTATTTGCTGGTGGTGGTTGTGACATAAGCTCATCCTCCATTTCCTTAGGAGATTGCGGCATAATATCATCTACCGTTTTTGAAGCAGAGGACAATTTCGCTGACACATGCGATGGACGTGGCTTAGAAGCTATGTTATTTGATTTTGTTGACGTCAAGGCTGAACTTGACTTCTGGAGAGTGTTCGATGTATGCTTTATCATTTCAGGTTGTTTCCGAGTATCGAAAATGCTCAAATTACTGTCATCACTTTCCTCTTCAGATGATCCATCTTGATAATCACATTGCGAATAAACCTCTTCATCACTCGAAAATTCTAAGAAATCCATGTCAATTCCTTCACCTTCATCACTACTGTTACGTCTTTTTTTGCAAAACGATGTCTTTTTGACGCTACTAGAACGCTTAGAAGTACTCGGTTTACTATTCATTTTGGTAGGAAAACACGTCCTTTTCGTTAGCTAATCAAAGTGCAACTAAACAAGTTATCAAAAATCCAACACAGGTTTTCGTAAGTTTAATTATACGTACGGATGGCCAAGCAGACAACGTTAACTTGCCGCGAGAGCCCAAAGCTCACTAGCCAATAGAAAAATGTGCGAGAGTAATACACGGATCCGTGTAGTAGGCCCTGCTTTTACTCCCACTACCACACGGATCCGTGGAGTGGGCACTGAATGTGTTAAAAGGATCCATAACATACCTATGTAAACGCCTTCTCTTCCTCACAGACAACGAAATTATCTCCTGACCCACCGAAGGACTAGGCCAGGGTGCAGTCTCGAGTGCATATTGTCTGAACTGCAATTCTCAATAGGTTAATGACGTATTCCAGTCAATAGAAAGATAACATTTTAAATACTGAAACACCTGGTGATGATGTTGATGATAAATTTCTATTACTGAATATCTGTACTTAAATTACAGCCTATATACGTCCCTCTGCTGGGCACAGGCCTCTCATTTCTGAGAGGGTTTTAGGGCAAAGAATAGTCCACCGCGCTGCCCCAATACGTGTGTGCAAACTTCACATATCTTCGAAATATTTTTTTTCTTATTTCTTAGACATGCGAGTTTCCTTACGATGTTTTCCTTCACCGCCGAGCACGTGGTAAATCAGCACTTAAAATTGCAATTAACAATTTCTTGGTACCGGCGGGGATCGAACCCGGTTTGCTCGCGTACTGTGAAATTTACAGCGAGCGCTGACCATCTGAGCTACCACGGCTCCCGCTATATCTGTACTTATTTGACTTAAAATATTTATTGTTTTTAAATTATAACTTTTTATTTCTTACTAATTTCACTATCTCGTTTCCAATATTTTCTACTTGGAGAGCCACATAAGGACAAAGATGGCTAAGTTTGGCTCTGCTTAAAGGATTGAATATAATTAATTTCTTTGATAGGTGGTCATAGAAAATCCCCACAAATAAACTTATTTGCCTTGTATTTCCTTGCATAGTTTTCCAAAAAAAAAAAATCAATACAATTATCTTAACAAAATGTTTAGAGTTTTACGTTTTACGGGAAAAAACATTTATAACACATTAACATCATAAATGATTTTATAAAAATGATCTGAATAAAACATGTCAATGACGTCAAGCATAAAATAAGAGCAAGCGAAGTAATAATACTGAGTTGTATTAAAAGGAACATTGATAATTTAATATGAAGTATAATTTATAATGTATATTTTTTAATAAAACTTAGTGCAAAATAAATTACACCCAATTGTATTATGATAAAGTTATTTTTCCTGTTGTGTCCCACATTTTTTAGTATTTTAACTGCTTCGCTACCATTGACGTTTTGTTTGTTACTGTATTAAGGACGGTTTGACTGAAACCATATATCTGACGTTGTATATATTCCGATATATTTGAGCAAGATTGGTGATTACAAGAATTTGCCTACTTTGGATGGTTAAATATTATTGATCACTTTGGATGTCTCTAAGTATTTGATCACCTTGACTGCCACTTTCCTATTGACGCTGACTGGACTATATTTTTTTCAGTAATGGCTTACAATTATTAACAACACAAGACAAATTAGAAATAGCTTGGTAGCGATCACCCTTCCGAGGGTTTATTATCATCCATAAAATCCTTAATATTATAATAACTCTTTTATACAAACTTAGTTTGATAACATTTTTGAACTTTGTATTATAGATGGGACCATCTAGGTACAATCCATCAAAAATATTTACAGGATTTTATATTATGTTCGAAAACAACGCCCATATTATGGGATACATCGTGTGATGGTTTTAAAGACAATTGTAAGCGAGTGGAGGCACTTCAGAAGTTTCTACCAATTAATAAAAAAAATGACACTTCAATATTAGATGTTAGAAAAAAATTCGTTAAAATCGAATAACAGAAAAGAATTAAATGTAATGTAAAAAAATGTAATGTGAGTGCCAATTTTTCTCTTGGAGTAATAGCTTGTCCCATTTCAGTGTCCTGTTTAATTAAAAAGGAGTGACCAGTTCCAATAAGTTGTCAAAACATTTATCACTCATGCGAAAATAATTTTTGTAGTCATCCATTTCTCCAGTAAGTCTAATCTCATCTAATAAATTTAAATGGGTATATTTTCCTTAAGTCGGTACCACTGTTTAGGCCAGATTCTCTTTTTCACATATTATATAGTCATCTGTTGCCTGGAAGAAATCATTGATTTTTAAAAGGCTGCTGGTGGTTATCATGTACGATAATGTATATAAATTGTTAAAATTAGGTCTTTTTTATAGAAAATGGGTGACAAAGGAGCTATATGCTCCACGTGATGGTAAGTGGATGCAGAGGCCCCTAGACATCTAAATCTATCCTCTACTAAGAATCAAAATGCAGATGCATTGTCACCCTTGAGAAGTAAGTAGGAATGCATAAAGGGTATCTGCTTGTGTACACTCACCATACGAAACGGCTCCATATTTAGCTGTTAATTCATACTAGTCTTCGGTGAGGGCATGGTCTTTCCACAGTTGAACTGACCTATTCATGCTACAGCGATAATATAGCTGCAGCATGGCTCTAGCTCTACCATGTATTAATAAATGTGTTATGTTAATAAAAACAAACTTGAGTACGTATATTTTATTTGCATTTCTAGTAAAAATATAGTAAATAGAATATATAAAAGAATTTTAATTGATAAAAATTAAAATTTATCGACAAATTGGCGATATTTTGAAAATGGGGAAGTGGGTTTGGTGAGTGTTTTTTTTTTTTTATTAAATTAAACATTTCAAAATTTTTGGAGATTCAACATCAATATGAAATTATCAAATGAAAACTAATTATTACTGGATTTTGATATAGTAGATTTAAAGAAAATCTTAAAAGAAAACAAAAATGGTCTTAGGATTTAAAACAAGAATTTTAATTTATTATATGTTGGCCGTTATCATCGATATACATGTACTACGCACTAGATTTGGCATTCTGAACACTTACTATGTTCAACTGTACTGTACTGTAATCCATACACCTGTTATTGTGGCTTCGATATTCATGCAGTGCGGAGCGGCGCTAATAATTTTATATTAAATCAGCACATGTGCCAAATAAACTAAAATTAAAAAAATGTACTCTATTAACAATACAAGATAAATAATTATTTATTGTGACAATTTTCGCGCGTTTATATCAACTGCGCATGCGTAACTACTGTTTCCTGCGCATGCGCGGAACTGAGTAGGACACTAGAAAAGGTTGTGGTCGTAGTATATATAACTCAATGGCCATTATAAATTAAAGTTCTTATTTTTTAATTCTAAGTCCATTTTTGAATTTTCTAAAAGATTCCACTCAACCCAACATCAAGATCCAGTAATTTTTTTTTCTAATTTCATACTTTCATGTTGAAGTTGAATCTCCAATATTTCTAATATTTTTGTTGTGATGGTATCTTCATTTATTTGCTTCTGGTTTTTTTCTTTTTATTATTGAAGCACTGATTTATATTTTTCTTTTTTGTTTCAGTTAAACAAATCTATTTTTTGGTGTGATATCAGCTATCAGAAGAGGTGAAATTCTTCTTTTAGGACCTTCAACTTGTTGAGGTTGATGCACAGAATCTTCTTTTGCACCCAATACTTCTTGAGAAGAATCTTGCGTATTGTTCAACTGTCGTGTTTCAACAATAATCTGTAATGAATAAATTACAAACTACAAAATACTACAAAATCACTATAGTGTAATGTGTAATTTTAGCTGATGGATAGTACAGACAATTATATATTAAGAAATTTGTGCATGGGTGTACTTATGCCACATTAAATAAATGATTATTTAATTATATTTTGTTTCATTATCTTTAAATTTCACACAAAATTATTAAATAGTAAGTTTGATTAGATTTTAACTAATTCTCACTGTAAATTTACATTGATAATTTTAATTGTTTGTTATGTATAGCACTATGCTGAAACAGTGGGGGATATAAAAAGAATTTAACCAAATCATCAGTTAAAAGCATGCTCAAAAATGCTAAATTCTGATGTAATATGATGTTAAAAAAACACTGAACTTGCATACCTATGTTGTAATATGGTGCTGAAGAGTCAAAATCATTAGACAATGGTTTAATGGTCTTAGGGCAAAATGTTCCACTCCGGTCTTGTACAGCTCGGACTGAAATTAAAATTTACATTCTACATTACATGCTTTTCTGATACCATTGTGTAACTTTATATGAGAATCAATTATTAGAAGTAGGTTGTATAATATAATGATGATATTAGTACAAAGTAATATTACAGCTTGTACAGTAAAGTTCATTTATTTTTATTTGTATTGTTACGCGCCTAAGTCGACGGCACTAGCACCATCTAGTGTCAGAGACGAGAGCGAGGGAAGCTTTCCAGAAAATGACATCACTAATCTTTCAACCGACAGCGCCATCCAGTCTCGAACCGAAGAACTAAACTTCTAGAAGTTGAAACTCGAACTCTCGGTACCTTGCGCGTGTTTACTTGAATATTCTGGATATTTCAGTGCTAATTTATATTTATAGGCGCTGCAAGATGCGATCGGGGAAGTATTGAATTTGGCGTGAGAAGCGAAGCTTCGGAGCGAAATAAAGTAAAATCATGCCGATTTTACCTAAGGACGAAATTGAGGGTGTCCGTACCCGAAGTCAACGTCAGCACGAGACGGACCAGAGACGATTTGGTGGTGCAACGCCGCAGATGTCTGAGGGCCAGCCGCCGGCCACGGAAGCCGGCCCGTCAGCAGCTCCTACGTCTGTGGCACCTGACTTAGGTGCTCTGATGGTGATGCTGCAGCAGCTGCAGCGCGGACAGAAGGAACAGGCCCGCCGATTGGAAGAGCAGTTGCGGGGCGGACAGGAGGAACAGGCGCGCCGGCAGGAGGAACAGGCCCGTCGTTTACAAGAGCAACTCCAACGCGATAAG